TAATTCTTCTTCTTCTTCTTCAGAACTTGAACGCCGTCCACCATGGTATTGATTGTGAGAAAAATCTCGACCAATGACGGGCGAGAATGTGATCGTGCTCACTTCAAAAAGTTGAATTGAAATTACATAATAGCCTAGCTAGACCGTAGCTTAAGTTTCATGGAGAGCCCACCAGGTTTCAGAAACCGCTACTGCCCTTTCTCTGTTAAATATGAGTAGTAGACTTTTCTTGGGTTACCAGTGTTGAATATACAATGGGCCCAGTCCACAGATGGAGCTCAGTAGGGCCGACCCGGAGCCGCGGACAACTTACTAAATTACCGAGGCTTCAGTTTAAAGCAGAAGTAGGAACGGGGTGGTTTTAAATCAATAGGAGTCTGACACTTCCTCTCGCCTCACCCAAGGCGGAAGAAGTAATTGGATGATGTTCCCGCCTTAAAAATTTAAGTTGGTACCTAATATTATAAAGCGGGCTATCCGAGCAATATATAACTTACGCCGTTGCGAATCGCTGAGAGAATTGTTTAAAACGATAAATATTTTAACGGTGCCCTGTCAATATATATATGAAAATATAATGTATGTAAGGAAAAATAGGCAATTGTTTGAAAAAAGAAGCGATAGACACAATTTTAATACTAGAGGCAAAAATAAGTTAGCTATACCGCAATTCAGACTGTCCAAAGTACAGAAATCCTTTATGGGGTTAGGTATTAAATGCTATAATAAAATACCAAATAGCATACTAGATCTCAATGAAAGTAAATTTAAAACATATATTAAGCGCGAATTATGTAATCAAGCCTACTACACACTGACAGATTATCTTGAAGATAAGAATGCTTGGCAGCATGTTGGTTCGGCTCCACTGGACAATACTCAAATGTAGTCAGTAGCTAAATTCCAATAGTAGGTATTTTAATACATAATTTAACACTTTAATTCTAATGTAGACAATCTAGTTTCCTTATGGCATCGAGCATTTCTTTATTGAAACAAAGAGTTTCCTTTTCTTGTATAGAAGCACTAATTTTATGGATTGTCAGTATGCATATGTGAGCACCATGTTGGACTTCAAGATTTTTATATATTTTTTAATTTTAATAAGTTATTAGTATAATTCGTCAAGCATGTCTTTGCATTGTTCTTACATATGCGTACAGTATTGAAATATGTATCAGAGACATTGTAGAACATACTTTTTTTAAAAAGAGTAACGAATGGAGTTTCTTGCTCGTTCTTCTCCATTCGAATCTACTTTTTGGAATGAGCACCTAGCTTCACCTAGTTTCACTGACGGACTGACTGACAGACTATTATTTATTTTGTATTTGTTGACGTTTCAAAAGTACCAAACTATGGTTTAATTGAAATAAATACTTTGACTTTGACTTTATATAAGCATTTCACCTAACGGGTTACCGGAGCTCCGGCTCGACGTACAGGAGAAGGAACGGGGTGGTTTTTAGTCAGTAAGAGTCTGACACTCCTTCCCGCCTCACAAAACATTAACAACTATAATAATAAAGAAACTGTAGTAAGGAACCCTAGACTTGGCACGACTTTGTCTAGATTTCATAACTTTTTTTTAAGATGAACAAGCGGCTCCATCGAGACTTGGCTAGTTTTTTACAGAATGTTCATATTAAGGTATGCAAAGAGGCTGAATACTAATTTTATTAACCACTGAACCTATTTGAGTGCAATTCGGTACAACGATAATCTGAGACTCGCAAAATGACGCCTAATAGTTTCCAACCTCTGAACCTATTTAATTGGAATTCAAATGGAGTTTTAAACACTGAAACCTCACGGGAATGAATACTATACGGGCAAAATCCCTGTGGGATTGTTTATTTTTTGATATCATGCAAATGTTGATGTTGTTTACATTTCACAATAAATATAACTAGATTGATTCCGATGAGATTTGTTCCACAGCATTGCAATTAACTTTGGAGAAGACTAATTAAAAAATTCAAAATTTACTAGAAGTCATATTATAATTAGACGCGGACGAAGTCGCGGGTAATAGCTAATACTTACATGTAGGTAAATTAAATACTAATTTTATATCTCAACATTTACTATTCAGTTTACGTACCTAACGATATTTCTAGATATTTTCATTACGTTGACAAGAAGCATCAACGCGCCCGCTAGTTAACCTGGTGTCTGAATTTAGGCGCACGCGCAGGTAACAAGCAGGTAATGACCTAAAATTGTCCTAATAACCTACGTCAAAAGATATATTTACAACACTAACACCCGGTTTTTGAACATAACATTACACTACACCTTTTATCTCTGGAGGTGTAGGCAGAGGTGCGCATTTACGGTACTTAATGGCACTGTAACAATTAATGTAACACCCACTTCACTATTAATGTTATGAGTCCCATGTAATAGGGGGTGTACCTATTCAACCTATTGCCATATACTGAGCACTATTCCAAACTCCGTGCTACTATTGAGATTTTTTAATAAATATAAATATAAATAATAAATATAAATATAGATTTGTTTTTCTGTATTTATTTATATATCTATTATATTAATTTGTTTTATTGTTTATTATTGTTATTTCTATTGGTTTCTTCGGTCTTATTACTTTTTTTTATTAATTGATTTTTATTTTGTTTGTGTAACACTATGTGTCTCAGTGTTGTTATTTCTTTTCCTGCCACAGGCCCACAGGAAGAAATTCCAGTTGGAATATGTGGGGCCTATGTACTCTGTCTTTTTATTATGTATTGTCCTCTGTGTTGAATGTGTGTACATAAATAAATAAATAAATTCCCCGTAATACTTTTACCTGGAACCCATGACCCCTTGCCCAGCAGTCGCACTTGCGATATCTCGACCGAGGCAGTCTGGTTTTTAAAAGATTGATAAAAGTATTTTTTTTTTAACTCGTTGCCCCACACTAGGATTTTCTCCTGTGTTGTGGGTGCGTTTACAAACATACAAGTTCACATACACATCACACCCAGACCCGGCACAACAATCTGTGGATCACACAAAGAGTTGTTCCGTGCGAATATCGAACCCGCGACACATTACGCGGCAGCCAGTTGCCCAACCACTACGCCAACTGTGCAGTCAAATTTTTCCATCACTACATCTATTTACACTCAAAACTCGACGCCACCCTCCCTTTTTTATAGAATAAGATGCCAATCGAGCAGACGGATCACCTGATGGTATCAGCGCCGCCCATGGACACCCGCCACAATAAAGATGTAACAGTTGCATGGCCGTCCTTTTAAATAGGAATACAATATTGTTAAGAGTAAATTGCTTGAAAACAGTAACACAAGTAATTATTCAAAATTTTTGAAGATTTCGATGTTGTTAATTTCTTTTTTTGAGGATCACTCTGCCGAACCCATTTTATCAGTCACTGCGTCATTCATAATGAAATAACGTAATAAAATCTTATTAGTATTCTACTGACCAAAATATGTAATGAAATCTGCACTGGACATATTATGTAGGTAAGCCTTAGAAGTTATAATCTCGTCACAAGGCACGTATTTATGAAGTGTGGGTATACTACTATACCTATTCATTTTAATAAAATATGCTTTAATTACTGTAATTTTAAAATGTATTGATTGTTAATAATGAGTTCAACAGTTTCAGTAAGTTAAAATTACAGCGCCATCTATAAAAATGTGCTGATAACGTTATGTTAACCAACGGCAATGCTGGTGAGCAATGACATTATGAACACACTTTTGTTTTTTTATGATATTTTGAGATTACGATTTCTGCTGATAAAATGTTTAGAATAAATTTTTCGAATAATACCAAAAACTAACTAGTATTATTTTCTCATTTATAGATAAAACAAAAAATGTTGTTAGGCTAAACAACTACGTGAAAAGGAACGTCACATTAAGAGTTGCTACGGAATTTCGCTAAATCGATTAAAAATTTATTTATTTTAATTTTAAATAATAAAATGTAGCATTGAAAATATATCACGTTATGTTTAAAGGAAAGGATAGGTCATCTGCGTAAATTCTATTTATGTGAAAATATTATCAGGTGGGATATTTTTTTAAAAATGATCAATGTTAACGACGTTCAATCACCCGTCACGGTCATATCGATAAATTCCAACAGGTGCATCTCTACTGTGACTTGTCTATGTTTAGTGTAATGTATTCGATTTCAGTAAAGTTCGTTTTAATTTTTTTCATAGTAACTTGATGTTTTTATTAAAAATTGTGATTAGAAACGTATTTAAAGTGAAAACCAAAGCTATTTTAATAGATCGTGTTACTTAAATCTTTAAAACGAGTGCCATTAATTCAATAAAGAGTGGAACAACCTTTAATTGAATACTTGCTGTGGCTATAAACAAACATCTGTAGATGTGTGCTGGTGCTTACACTTGTTGCACCCACTTTCAAAAATAAAGAGATTCAGTTTACCTGTTTGTGGGAAAGTGAACTTATCATTAACATGTCATAGAATTCATTTTGTGACCATTTACCGTTACGGCAGTCTAGTGAATGTGAGAAATGTGATACGATATTGTTATCGTGGATGTTCGTTACGATGCACCTGTCTGCACTACATAACGTTGCATTGAGCTAAGTGCATAGCGTTTGTTAACAATCTGCCCGACGGATACTAATTAAAATCCAGTTATTTGTTACGTAGTTAACTATGGCGCAGGTAAAAAATACACGAATCGACAAGTCAGTGAGAAGTCGGTCCCAAAATGACTCATACGAATGATCGCTGGCATTCCTGTATTGTTTTGTTTTTAAAAGATGCCATATCGATGAGTAAATTGCGGAGGGCACGAACAAAAAAAGAAGTATTTCTCTATGAAGATAAGGAAAACAAGCAGTGTTCTTTATTTGAATTTTAGATGTTTAGTGTCTTGTGCTTGCGATTGGCGCGAACTCTTAGTGTTATGAGTGAAATTAAAGTTTATTTGTGGAAAATGTGTTAAAAATTGTGTAGTTTTTTAAATATTTGCAATGGCTCAGAGTTCTGTGGACTCGGACAGACTGTCCTCAGCTGGAATTTCGACCCATAGCTCAGGAACTGCAGGCACTGTTGGTGGCTCTGTAGTTGGTGTCAGACCAGGAGATGCAGTGCTTAAAAGAGAGGATGAGGATGAATATAACCTTGGACCGCTGCCTCCAATGTGGGAAAAGGCATTCACACCATCAGGAGAAGTTTATTTTATTGAGTAAGTGGTTATGAATAAGATGAAATTAGACTGTATCTCATATTTTTATGCAACTTGGACTATCATAAGATGTATTTATAATTTTACTATTGCATGCTTAGTACATTATTAGCAGTTTCATTAAATTTAAGTTAAGATTTAAATAAAATGAAATTCAAATGTCCAATATTACAATGTGGTAGAATAGTGCCCTCATCATCATAAATTCCCTACTGAAATATTCCTAGTTGTGACTTATTCATTTCCCTGCTCACTACAAGTTATGTGAAATATTCAATATTACCATCATGCTTTCCAAGATTTTACAGAGCAAATTGGAACTATAATATTTCAGTCTTCTACTGCCGTTAGTTATTGTATTTATCAAAAGAGACCTTAATGGCTTGATACCTAAGGTTTCTGCCATCTCAAGCTTGAAAGTTTTTTCTAAACTTAAGGTTAATTTAGACACCTCTGGCATTTGATGAAGGAAAGCATTGTGAAGAAACTTATGTCCATGTTCCCAGACTTTTAGGAATCCCTAAATTAAGTGACACTTAACCAATATCAATCAATTAAATATCAATCCCGTGCCCCTAGCACCGTGCACTCAGCTGCAACTCGATGGAAAAAGTAATACCTACAATAAAAAAGCGGGGAGCAATCTGTAAATGTCACCTAACAGTACAAGTAGGGAGTTAGTTTAGGGTGCTAGATTATGCTTTTAATTAAGAGATAGTTTTGGATTTAAGGTTGTTCGGTAAAATGTCTATTAGACTTACCAATTTATTTCCAATTATAAGTTGCCGATCCGCATTGACCAACTGTCATGGTTTATGTTAACTCTTTCTCCATGTGAGATCCAGTAGTGATATTATAAGTGCAGCAGCCTATAAGTGGCCACTGCTGAAAAGCCTCTTCTCGCACATTGAGCATTAATCACCATATTTGCTCATTGCGGATTGACGATTACACACTTATAATTAGAGATTATAAGCCCAGGTTTCCTCACCATGTTTTCCTTCGCCATTTATCAGTTGTGTCTAGATAATCTTAAGAAGTACATATAACTAGGAAAAAGTCACATTGGTACTTGCCGTTAGTAGGTTTCCAACCCGCGCTCTCATGCATGAGAAGCTTCTTAGACATTAAACTCTAAATTTAATACAAAGTTTGGTTTTCAGCCACAACACAGGCACGTCACACTGGTTGGACCCAAGATTAGCAAGAGTCCGGAAACATTCCCTCGGTGAATGTGGAGAAGACGAACTGCCCTTTGGCTGGGAGAGAGTGACGGATGAACGATACGGTTCTTATTACGTAGACCACATCAATAGAAGAACACAGTATGAAAATCCTGTGCTGCAGGCTAGAAGATTGAGAGGTAAGTTGTTAATTGATAATATGCTTTGTTCTAACAGCTTTAAAGTCTAAATAACATAACATCATGTCCCTTATCTCCGAAGGGGTTTTTTTAAGGCGGGAAAATCATCGAATGACTGGGTGAGGTGGGAGGGAGTGTTAGACTCTTACTGACTAAAAACCACCCCGTTCCTACTCCTGCCCTTCGAACCGGAACCCCGGCAACACGTTAAGTCCTCCACGGCTCCGTATCTGCATCAGCCCTATTGGGCCCCATCCGTGGTGGTCTGATGATTCTTTGAGGCGCGCGCAGATCGCGACGCGCCATACGCTCGGGTCTGGTTCTGGTCGAACGGCGAGCCACCCATGCTCGCCGTCCGCAGGCCCGCGCTTGCGGTGGCCGGAGATCGTATCTCCAAAGGTAGGCAGAGGTGAACATTACGGCACTTAATGCCACAATACACCGTACAATGTAACACCCACATTTCACTATTTATGTTTACTATGAGTCCCATTTAATAGGGGGTGAGCCTATTGTCATATACCCGGAACAGTGCTACTACTGCGATTTTTTTAAAAACCCAGTATTACATTGCCCAACCCGGGAACCCGAACTCCTTGCCCACCACTCGCACTTTCGACCATTCGGCCAACAAGGCAGTCTTTAAAGTCTACTTAACTACATTAAAATGCTCTGACTCACACCAGTATCTTGACCTTTCCCATTTATAGCTTAGGGCTTAATTATAAACAAAACTTTTTTAAGTCAGAAATAAGTAACTCTCGATTTTAAGTAACTAATAAGAAAGTACAAGGCTTCTTAATTTTGAAGTTTGCGATAAATCTATAACCGGTTGTTACGGGTTTGTTTGGGTGTGATGTATATCGATATAACTAAATAATTAGTACTTATATTGTAAACACAGCCTAGACACAGGAGAAAAGTACTATGGTTATGCCACGATTTCAGAAAAAGGAAAGAACTCAAGAACATGTCTTATTATACTATTATTATAAAGCTGCAGAGTGTATTTGTTTGTTTAAACGCGCTAATCTCTGGAACTACTGTTCTGATTTGAAAAAATATGTTTGTGTTGTATAGTCCATTTATAGAGGAAGGCTATAGGCCATGATACATGGCTATAAGACATGACGCTATGACCAATAGAAGCCGAGCAAAGCATGATAAACCATGCCGGAGTAGACAGTTGTACGATATACATACAACAAAATAAATTTTATGATGACATGCCCATCAGTCGACTTTCACCGAGTTTCAGGTACCAGGTACCTAGCAATAAATCCGTAATTTCCAATCAATAAGACAGTTAAATCGTAAATCTTTTACATAATAGGTAATCAGTCCGTCTGAAATTCAGGAAATGAATGATTACTCATTCATTTTATATTATGCTGTATAGTTCCACTTGACTGAAAGTAATTCAGGCAGAACTTGTTTTGTAATCATTTGTACTATAGGTAAGGTAATGTTTCTGAAGTTATGTACAGACGGCAGCACGTCAAGTTACTCTTAAACAATTATTTAATTTCTCTACTTTATTGCAAAATTATAATTTTGAGTGTTTATTAACCCCTCGAGCGTCCTTATGAACACCCGGTGGATCATAAGAAAAAATGCTCCTAATGTAACGTGTGCACCCGTTGGATCATAAGGAACGCGGACGCTCGACGGGTTAAAGAGAGAGAGATGACTGATAAATGAAAGAATTATTTCGATTCCTCAATACATACATAACTTCATTCATTCCTGTCTCCCATGGGGGCAGGTAGAGACTATGGAACGCCAATTGCTACGATTCTTACATACCTCTTTCGCTTCATCAACAGTCATCAATCTTTTCATGCATACTCGTCGGTTACGGGCACTTTAAATTTGGCCCTTCTTTAATATATCGCTAATCTGGTCAGTATTATGTCCGTCTAGAACGCCCTCTGCCGACAGCTCCATTCATATCGCTCTGTATACTTCTTTCGTTACTCTACTTTCATTCATCCTTTTTAGATGTCCAAACCATCGTAACATTCCTGAATACAAAGACATTATTAAAAATATTTTAATTACACTGTAATTTGACTGACTTCAGTTCAAAGACAAAGGTTATTTATTTGCAAAAACACGTGAATTACCAATACATCATAGAATGCACATTATAGGTTGTACAGATGAGCAGTAAGCATAGTATCAACATGTTTGACCATGATTTTCAGATAGGCTGGTTAGAAATGCCCGATATACACATATTCCTTTATAACATAACATTAATAGCAATAATGATACTCCAAACACAGTTCTTTCTATCCTTTCAAGACTTAATAAGTGTATTTTTTTTTTGGGCAACCCGCCACGTCCTCCCAAAACCGTTACAACTGCTTTCCACCAGGATCTACAGTAGATACAACCATGATAATACCGGAACACTGAAGTCCAGCGCGTCCCAGTGACGTGAATAACTGTCTTTGATCCTTCAGGAAATAAATCAGAAGATGATTAGAGGAGAATAATCGAAAGTGTTTCCTTTTGCCTCCGTGAATTTAATAGGCGTAATGTTATACTCAAAATCTTTCACTGCCTATTTTAAAAACCGTAGTAATAGACCCTATCGAGGCGGATTAAGCCTATAGGCTTTTCTTTAAGTGGGGAAAATCATCCAATGACTTCTCTCGCCTTAGGTTAGGCGAGGGGGAAAGACAGACTCTTACTGACTAGAAACCACCCCGTTCCTACTCTTGCACTTCGAGCCAGAGCCCCGGCAACCCGGCCTTCCGCAGTTCCGTATCGGGCATCAGCCCTACTGGGCCCCATGTGTGGCGGTCTGGTCTCTTTGAGGCCCGAGTGGAACGTAACGCGCCGTACGCAGGGGTCTGGTTCTGTTCAGACCCGCACTTACGGCGGCCGGAGATCGTCGTGCGATCTCCGACGCCCAAGGTGTCGTGCTGGGGCGACGAGGGGCTGAGCTGGGGAGGAGGTTCGTTCCCTGACGCGCCCCGCCTCAAGCTTATAGGTTGCCCCGCGTCTCGTGGCGTCCCTTTGCACCCTGGCGCCCTAACACTTGCTTGGTTTGCCTTAGGGATAATACGAGTCGCGGAGAACCTAACGGGTAACCGGGGCTCCGGCTCAACGTGCAGGAGAAGGAACGGGGTGGTTTTTAGTCAGTAAGAGTCTGACACTCTCTTCCGCCTCACCCAAGCGGGAGCAGTCATTCGATGATTTTCCCCCCTTAAAAAAAAAAGGGATAATACGAGTCTGGACCCCATGTATGTTGGGATAGTGTTATTCGCATCCCAAAACGTTGTCCACGTGGAAAAGATGAGTGAACTGTAATATAATTAGTGAAAATGTCCGCTTTGATGTTCATTCGCTTGAATGAACCCGGTGAAGGACTAACTACACCGTTTAGTTCAGTTATATAGTTTATACATAGGGTTGAGTAGGTGTTTTTAAAGAATATTATAATGTGTTGCCTAACGAATACAATTCAAAATTACCATGCGTTTATTAAGAATCGTGATATTTTATAGCATATACTCAATAGCCGTACTCGATAAATGGACTATCCAACGCAAAAAGTATTATTTAATTAGAAGCAGTAGTTGCGGAGATTTTAAACAGTCTTAAACTTTATAGTCTTAGTAAACATAGTCGTTTTGTAATTATTTTTAATCACATTATAGTGTTTTTATTAGCATATACGTAGTCTCTTAGCCGGCTCTTAAGACGCTGCGGGAGGACTAGGGATTGTGACAAATATATTTTCTGCTATTATCAAGAAGCAAGCAATTATCACATACTAAACCAATTAGCATTGATCAGACAATTTCATCAAAGAATTGTTAATTAGGTGTCGTTAAGTAAAAGCTGTAATATACGGACTCAGTTAACCGTGGCAGTGGTGATTTCTTTGAATATTTATTCACACTAATTTCCATGCTGTCTCATTGGCCGAGTGGACTGCCGGGCAAGGGGTCTCGGGTACGATACCCGGGTCGGGCAAAGTATTACTGGATAAAAAAAAAAACCAGTAGTACCACGGGGTCTGCAAATGTGCCCGGTATATAGCAATAGGCTCAGCCCCTATTACATGGAACTCATAACATAAATAGTGAAAAGTAGGTGTTACATGTACAGTATTATGTGCCGTAATGTGCACCTCTGCCTACCCCTACGGGAATAAAAGTCGTGATGTTTTGTTATGTTATAATTTCCATAATATCAAGTTGTTCATCACATAGATGTACTTTACATTCCTGAATGAATGATTATTTGTATTAGATCCGAAATTGATGTAATCAAAAGAAGTCTTTAAGAATTGCCTGATAAATGATTTTAAGTTTTTAATTAATCTTCTTTTTTCTTGTTCAATTAAGGTAAGTAATCATGAATGGCTGTGACAATCGGTTGTGTAATTAAATTATTATGTTTTCGGCTTACTCACGTAATAATTTGACGAGGAACTCGACTAGTTTCAAGCCATGCTAGAGGCTCATATTCATAAGCAGCATTTCACGATCCGCGACGCGGCGACTGTCGCGCTGCTATTATTACAAACTGGCACCACCAGTAGTAGCAACGAAGAGGTCGCCGCGTAATTAGCCTAACTGTTATTATTTATTTTTTTCATATTTTGTTAAAAGTAGGTTTTTGTATGTTGCCGCAAAACACGTAACGTAACCTTATACTCGTTCCAATGTTATGTATTACCTATTATGGCCAGCAGTTAGCCTATTGTTTTATTACGTCATATATTATGTGAACAATATAAAAAATCGTGATAAATGCCAATCACCTTTTGCTAAAAGCTTAACGTCACGATGCAATCGTGTTTATGATACGTTACGACACCGTTAAAGTCTCAAAAATCATCCAATGTTTCTCCGCCTCGGGTGAGGCGGGAGGGAGTGCCAGACTCTTACTGACTGAAAACCACCCTGTTCCTACGCCTGCTGCGAGGCAGAGCCCTGGTAACCTGTTAATATGACAATGTCATACGGTGAAGAAAAACATCGTCTTTTTCATCGAATAACCAGACTTACTTACTTATCACCTGATGGTAAGCAAGCGCCGCCCAGGGACACCCGAACCACCAGAGGTGTTACGTTACCGCCTTTTAAGGTATTAGGAATTTGAGGATTATTGGTGATTCGGAGATTGGGGATATTGGGGACCTAAAAGAGCCTCCGATAACCTCACTCACACGACGATACACAATGTAAGTGTTGTTTCACATCGGGTTTCTGTGAGTGCGTGGTATCACTCCAGTCGAGCCGGCCCATTCGTGCGGAAGAATGGCTCTCCCATACTTATAGCTTCGTGAGAAACCATGGACTTATAACTTCTATTAATATAAGTTTAAAAACCCCAATCTGAATTCAGCAAATGTCTGATGATGATGATAAAGAATTTTGCCTTTCCTAAATAGGTCAGAACAGAACTAATAATAAAGTAATTAACAAAGCAATAACAACTATGAATGATTGTGTTTCAGCGGAGAAATTGTCATCCGAGAATGGGGGCACCGGCCCATCTAACGGGCCAACGCCCACAGGAGAGCTTCGGGGCGAGAGATTCACTCTCACTCTCACTAAAGGCACTCAGGTAAGCTAGTATGCTACTTTTTCATGATATCCGGTGATGAATCAGCGTTTTAAATGTTTTTTATTGTTCTTAGTGCGGTTGTTGAACTCGAAGAATTTGCTTTTTTATAAAAAATAAACTAAAAATCATTTCAGACCACAAAGTCCATAGGCACGGCAGGTTTATTAGTACAACAAATCTATGTTATAATGTTAGTAACCAATACTTAAACTTAAGCTTAACACTAAATATGAGGGGGATGTCTACTCAATAGGCTTACCGGCCCCGACCGAACCCCAACCCATGGATTTCAGTGAACCTACTGAGCAGAACAGTATCATTTCCTTCGCCTATTTATGCTCACGGCGCTAGTTTGGACATCTCGTCAATTCATCCAATAGAGAATTAGCTCAAACCATTGAAAGTTACATTTTCGACAGCTACAGTGATTGGACAAACTCACCCCTTGATTAGCGAAAACTGGTGGACAAAAACGATAGCCCCCATTGAGTAAATTTCTTGGGCTGTGCAAATATTGAGGCGGTTCACGAGCTTCGTTGCGCGTTGAGAAGCGGTATTTCATGACGGTTTTCTTTGTGACCGTAGTATCACCCTGATCGAGCCACACTGTTCATGCCATGTATGGTTTTCCCGCGTGTATGTACATATTTTTTAAATAAAGATAAAAATAAAATATTTAATTAAATTTAGAACCATTTACAAATGGTTCTAAATTTAAAAGGATTCTTAGAAGATAAATGTGAGGTACTCGTCACAATCCAGTGCTGGACTATGCAGGCAGTAGTCATGTCATACATTATATTATAGAAACTAAACGATTAACCCACAAAAAAAACAATACGTTTGTCATAACAACTATTATGGAGGACTTTAAAAAGTGTCCTGTTTCCGGACTGCGTCGGAGACGAACCGTAACGTTCTGGTTGACCCCGTTTATCCCTGTTCAGCTACCATGACGACGAGTTCATTATTCTTCGGAATTGTAATAATCCTTACTATCCTTACTAATATTATAAATGGGAAAGTGAGTTTGTTTGTTTGTTCCACTTTCACGCCGTAGCTACTAAACCAATTGCTTTGATTTTTTGCAGACGTAAATATTGAAGTCCGGATTAAATAATAGGGTACTTTTTAACCCGGAAAAATTTGATACTCCCGAGAGAAAACAAAAATATGTGTATTGGTATATGTCACATAGGCTACTTTTTATCCTTTTGTGACGCGAGCAAAGCCGCGGGTAAAAGCTAGTAGTTTATATAAAATATATTTTTTGCGTAATTTTTTGAAATACTCTATCTATTTTAAAAAGTCGCATCAAAATCCATAAATATCCATACAATACAATACAATGTCGTAGTGGCCCGGAGGTTAAAGACGTCCGCATCTCATGCATGGGCTCGAAACCTACCAACAGCGAGTACCAATGTGACTTTTTCCGAGTTATATGTACTTTCTAAGATTATTTAGACGTCACTGACAAACGGTGAAGGAAAACATCGTTAGGAAATTTGGGCTTATAATTTCTAATTATAAGTTTGAAATCGCCAACCCGCATTGAGCAAGCGTGGTGAACTGGTGAATAATACTTAAAACCTTCTCCGTGCGAGAAGAAGCCTTTGGTCAGCAGTGCCCATAAATATATATGTTGTTGATGTGATACAAAACAATATACATGCATACATAGGGACAGACAGCAGAAAGCAACTGTTTTATACTAAGTAGTGATAGTCATAATGCTTTCTGTACTGAAATTGACGTTAATATTTTCAGGGTTTAGGCTTCACGCTGATCGGAGCTGAAGGTATACCAGAGACGGAGGGCTACCTTCAAATACGTAGCATCGTGCCCCATAGCCCAGCTTGGATTGATGGTAAGTCATTAAATTAAAAGTATTAATATCGAGTAAATAATTCTGATTTATTTTTACTACAAGTCAAAGGAGATCATTTCGGCTCCATACATTTTTGGGCAATAGTTAATATGGCGTAAAAGTTGTAGGATCCAAAATGAAACGCAAAATAGTGATCGATATTGCTAGAATTATATTGAGTTGAATGGGGATGATGACAGGGTATGAAAATTAAAAATATAATTAGTCCGTAAGTTAGGTAATGAAAAAATATTAGACATGTCCGTCTGGTACATTAATTTAAAACTTTAGACACGTATTTTTTTTCTCACAAAATTAAATACTTTCGACGATATATTAATTTGAAATATCGTGTGACGTCACAGGGTGCCACATTTTGTAGCACGTTATGACGTAACGACCTCCCACTCCTAACCTTAACTCCATTTTATCTAAGTATTGCAACTTAATGCGAGAAAATAAAGAAATACGTGTCGAATATTTTTTCATTTTGTAACTGAGGGACTAATTACATTTTTAATTTTGATACCCTGGAAACTACCCAATTATAATTCGAGAAGTTTTCGTTGTCTTTTTTTGTAGGAGTATCTTCAAATAGGTAGTTCTGTTTTTACACGCGTCAACCGTTATTGGTTAATTAGTATATCTGACGCCAGTTATTATAAAGAAGCTAGTATCTTGATATTGTCGCGGAGAACCTAACGGATAACCGGGGCTCCGGCTCGACGTGCAAGAGAAGGAACGGGGTGGTTTTTAGTCAGTAAGAGTCTGACACTCCCATCCGCCTCACCCAGGCGGGAGCAGTCATTCGATGATTTTCCCCCCTTAAAAAAAAAAGTATCTTGATATTAACTCGTCGAGTACCGGTTTTATAGACACAATTAAAGAACAATAGGTCGCGGTCACCGGTGACCGCTTGGTGTTTGACAGTTTAATTAACATGTTGTTTGTGTTTCCAGGAGCTCTTCGTCCAGGTGACGTGGTGGTTGGAGTAGGCAACCGAGGAGTGCGAGGACTCTCCCACGCTCACGTGGCTCAAATCTTCCAGTCGATTACACCTGGAACTGAGGTCACATTGCATCTTGTTAGAGGTGACTATCAATATTTATCTGATTTCTGTACAAAACACATAATTACTATAGCCAATTGGATATTTTACACACACAATCTAGCCTTTTATCCCCGAAGATGTAGGCAGAGGTGAACATTATGTACACTGTACACTGAATGTACAATGTAACATCCACTTTTCACAATTTATGTTATGAGTCCCATGTAATAGGGGCTGAGCCTATTCATCATCATCATCATCAGCCTGTATTCGTCCACCTCCCATCATCATCGTCCTGTATTGAGCCTATTGCCAATTGCCATATACCGCGCACAATTCCAAACGACTACATGCTACTGCTGAGAATTATAAATAAACCAGTAATAACCCAGTAATTATTATTACTGTTATTTTACTTGATCAAAAATAAATTATTTCGACTTTTCAATACAATCGTCAAATTTCTAATCCGCAAAAGGCCGGTAACGCATTTGTAACACCTCTAGTGTTTCGGGTGTCCATTTAAATAAGAAGTTTTGTACATAAATATTTTTTATTGCAGGTTATCCCCTGTCCTTCGACTCTGAGGACCCGAACACTCGCGTGCTGAGTACGTTGGCAGTGGACGCGACCACTCCTGCCACCTCCGACGCCGTCGCCATGCAACAACTTACCAGAGCACTGCGGACCAGGTGAATATCATAATTATACTGGTTTAAGTGTGGGCCGGCTCGACCGGAGTGATACCACGACCTCCCAGAAGACCGACGTGAAACAACGTTGTTTTGTGTTTCGTCGTGTGAGTGAGGCTACCGGATGCCCAATAACCCCCCCCCCCCTTTCCCCAATCCCTGAATCCCCAACAATCCTCAAATTCCTAATATTTCGTTTCAAACATTGGAGTCTGTTACAAAACAGTCTGATTTATGTTATAACTTTCGTGATACATACTAAATTAATTATAAATAGTCGAGTTCCTCGTCAAATAATTACTCGAGTAAGCCGAAAAACATTATAATGAAAACGATCTGATTTTCAGTCCCGATCGAAAATGAAGTCAAAAACACCTTGTTATTTTAACCGACACAAAACTAACTATGTATCGTTCTCAACCCAACACCTTCGTATGAAGAACAATCTAAAAAATACTCAGATCTATGCACAATTCTAGGTTCAACTTGGACTCGCCCAACCACGAGTCTACCAACCAGGGGAGGGACAAAGTGGACGGTCCCACTCCACATAGTCCAGGGCAGAGACGAATGATGTCTAGGTCATTTGACCTGGATGAACTGACCATACATGATGATAACCAGGAGCTGCCTCGGTGTCCATCTCTTGATCATGTACTGTCTTTGGCTGGTGGTAAGAATTTCTTTGTTTACTTTATTTTTATTTATATATATTTGATGGGCAGACGTTTGACCACTATCTCGCCTGGTGGTAAGCGATGATGCAGTCTACGATGGAGCATGTCGACCCATAAGGAACCTATTCACTCAGGCCTTGAAGACACCCAGGGTGTAACCTGGGTATATCAGGAAATACAGATTCTGGCAAAGGATTCCTTAGTAGTACGCACAAGGAAGCTTGTTGTTTTTTATTTTAGTACAATCTTATTTTTTGTATTGACGATAGATTTTGTTACTTAACAATATCTTCAGACATATTTATGTCTGACACACTTCTTAGAAAGAGATAAATATAAGTACATAAGTCGAAATATAGATATTGCTTTTTTGTATATTTTATGAAAAGAGAAATGTTGGTATACCTACAATCGACCAGATTGGCGATATATTAAAGAAGGGCCAGATTAAAAGTACCCTTAACCGACGAACATGCATGAAAAGACTGTTGATGAAGTGAAAGAGGTATGTAGGAATTATAGCAATTGGCGAACCACAGTATTTGCCTACGTCCATGGGAGCTTATTTGGAGAGGTCCGTTTACACCTTATATGAAATAAAATTAGTATTCATATCTACTTATAAATCCTATTGTTATGGTTTTTTAAAGAACATCAGTCGCGTGCTGACAATAGCTCGTCCAACGAGCCTGGCAGGGAGTTGGTGCTGACGCTGCGGCGGGGCGCGGCTGGCTTCGGCTTCACTATCGCTGACAGCGTACATGGCCAGAAGGTCAAAAAGGTATATATCGTTTTTATCTTGTCTTTTGTTTTCACTGACGGCAAAAAGTTAACTCTACTTTGCCGTGTACACACTACCCTGGCGGTTAGTGCAGTCTATACTCCGTCTGTTTAGGTAGTTAACTATTTGTAAACAAACCATAAAAAGAGTTCTTTATAGTTGACATTTCCATGATTCAAAATACTTCATAAGAAAATAAAATTGTTTCCATTTTTACAACAGTTTTCTCTACGAAATGTTATGTTTCTGTTCCTTTTCACTTATTTCTTTGTAAATATTATATATATCTGCTTGAGCATAATAATTTAATAACATTTATTAAATAATATAATATTTCATTACAATAGACACCATAAAGAGCCTAAAATCCCAGGTATCCAAAACCATTCTTTAAGAACGAAGCATTAGATAATGTTGTCAAATTAAAGAGTACAACTAAGATGTAGCGCGACAATGAAAGTAGCGTGTATTACGTTTAGTCGGTTAATCAGGCGCCATTGACAGCTCTCTCGTCGTTTGCGCTCGCGTTCCTATTTTGTTGAATTTATCTTGTTTCTTTGTTTTGTTTTTGTTATTAAGTTATTTAAGTTTAGGTTATTCGTCGTTTGTAATTAATGTGTTCAAATATATTGAAGAAACTTGGCCCAAAGACACATATCCGTACAAGAAAGAAATCCGTTCATCAGATTCAGAATAGTTTCTATTTAAACATGATAATGAAATAGACCCATAGGCTAGGCTCTTGTACGATTTAGGCATTTGTGCTAGTATGTGTGTGTGAGAAATGAACGATTTTAAAGTGAATTTAGTTTAAATTAATATACAAGAAATATTTGAAGTAACAATAGGTTAAATATCTCTGTGTCACGTGGTTTTCTTTGTTTACCTTTAGTTAATTACCTAAACAGATGGACTATAGTTAAAACGTTAAGAAAAAAATATTTAAATTATGACAAAAAAATATCCAGAATTATTATTATTTTGTGTTTGATAGAGTTTATTTATCAAAGAAAAGTATGCTTGTAAAAAGTAGGCTATGGAACATCACGCTATGATCATGATTAATAGGAGCAGAGCAGCGGGTGTAACCGCTATAACAGTTTTCGTGCTGCGATAAATTTCCTCATTATAGGTACTTATACATACATATTATTATGATACCTTTATGAGGAAATTTAAGCCTTTGACTGCCGACAGAAAACTGCTGAAGGCAAATCCTCCGCTAACGTAGGTCACCGGTGACCTACGCGGCGGTTAACGTGTTAAATAAAAACTAACTTCAGATGTTAAGATAAGTCCTAGTTAGTGAGATACATTTATTACAAGCTAGCAGGGAGTAGCTGGTAATAAATGTAATGTAATTTATGTATAACCATTCTCTTCCATCCAGGTTTTGGACCGCAGTAGGTGTGCAGGTCTACGGGAAGGTGACTTATTGCTGCAGATCGGAGACACAGACGTCAGACACGCGCCACATCAACATGTTGTGCAGGTTTGTGATCAGGAGCATAGGAATCGATCCGACGGATCTCCTTATGTTGAGCAATCGGCGCCGATCATGGACACCCCACAACTCTATAGGATTTTCTTTTAGGGATTGGGGAAAGGGTGGGGATTAAGTTTTCGGCCTCAATTTTACCTCCACTATGTGTCATGTTGTCTTGATGGTGTCACGTCGTTGTGGTATCAAGGAGTGAGAGCTGGCCTTTTCGTGCCGAAGCATGTAGTCTCGCACACTAATGTAATACAGAGTAAACGTAACGCTCCCAAAAACGCCGACAGGTAATGGTAAAAAATAAGTTTTATTGTAGTTAAGTTATAGTTGCAATTAACTGCACAAGGCTGATGTTGCATGAATGACATGAAAACGAAAACGATTAAAATTGTAAAAATGTTTTTTAATCGGCATTTTGGGAGTGTTCCGTTTACACCCTGTATAACAAACATCACGCCTTTTATTCCCGAAGGAGTACATATTACGGCACTTAATGCCATTCATTGTACAAGTTAACGCCCACTTTTCACTATTTATGTTATGAGTCCCATGTAATAGGGGGTGAGTCTATAGACTAATGTAATATTTAGAATGTAAAGACAAAGTTGTCAATGAGTAATGTATTCCGATGTGGTTGGCAGGTGCTGAAGGAGTGCCCCGCGCTTGCGGCGAGCCGCCTGGTGGTGTGGCGCCGCAGCCCCGCGCCGCGCGCGCCGCGCAGCCGCTCCGCCACCAGGCACCAGCCGCAGCCCGGTACGGGGACTCACTCACTCACTCACACTTTAGAATACATTGAGTCATTCACTCATTCACACTCGTTCTCTAACTAACACATTCACAATATTGTTACTTACTGTCACACACTAACACAAACACGCTTTCGAATTCAATTATTCATCAAATTTCAATAAATCTTTCAAGACAACATATTAAATTGCTTAACAAAAAATTGATTAAAATTAACTTTGCTAATACTCTACAAGACTAAACATAGATGCAACTATAATATCCTTTTATCTGTTGAAACACCGGCTCCCGGTATAAAGCACATTATACCCCCAACTTTCAACATACAAGAGGATATACAGTTTGTCAACATTCCAACTGCTTTCTATTACAGCACCAAACAACAACGTCATTAGAAGTAAGACGCCCACAGCGGAACAGTTGCGGTCACCAAACATACACACTCAAGACTCGTTGAGAGACAGGCTTAATGGCATGAATTCTGGTAAGAAATATGAGATTCACGTCCGAATAGTGAAAGGTTACACAGTTTTAAGTTGGACTTAGCCATCTCTGTCATTTTACAATCAATTTGTAGTGACAGAACTATACTTATACACGACTTAAAATTGGGTACTTTACTTAGTCAAAAATAAATTATTTCCACTGTTCAATACAATAAAATAATGTCGTGGTGGCCCGGAGGTTTAAGACGCCCACTTCTCATGCATGAGGGTGCGGGTTCGAAACCTACCAAACGGCAAGTACCAATGTGACTTTTTCCGAGTTATATGTACTTTCTAAGATTATTTAGACACCACTGACAAACGGTGAAGGAAAAACATCGTGAGGAAACCTGGACTTATAAGTTTGAAATCGCCAACCCGCATTGAGCAAGCGTGGTGATTAATGCTCTAACCTTCTCCGTGTGAGAAGAGGCTTTGCTCAGCAGTGGGCATTTATAGGCTGTTGATGATGATACAATAAAATATAAAAAAATAATCACACTTCCATTATTGATTTTATGACGAACTTATTATTTTTATTTATAACATAAAAGTACGGAGCAACTCTTAGTGTAATCCACTAATTGTCGTCTTAAGAAAAAATTTCAATCTATTTATTATTCACTCAATGTACAATTTAATATTGTTTTTTCCTTCATTAGAAGCGACATACGCAGTGCCCGAACACAAAAACCGTGAACGAGAAAGCCTTATAGACCGCAGACGTAGGAGCAGTACGCCTGGAGGACGTCTCACTCTCCCAGTAGTCACGCCTTGGAACGAACCACAACCCGACAACCAATGGCAAGAACGAGAAACATGGGTCGACAACTCTAACATCAGAAACTGGGCCGAAAACGCCCAAAAATGGGATGAAAACGGACAAAAATGGGACGAAAACGGACAAAAATGGGAACAGAACGGACAAAAATGGGATGAGAATGGACAAAAATGGGTAGAGAACGGTCAAAAGTGGGTTGAGAATGGACAGAAGTGGGTTGAAAATGGTCAGAAGTGGGACGAGAGTACAAATGGCAATCGGTGGGAAAATAATGAAAGGTGGGGGAATGGGAATTGGGGTGAGGTGCCCACTCCTACCGTACATGTCGACATGAATGCTGCCTACTGGAGAGGAAACGCCAGTGTAGCAGATAGTAGTGATAATGGAGGTAAGACGATAATGTATTCTACATGATTTTTTGGGGGGTAATCCGGTAAACGAGCATACGGATCACCTGATGGTAAGCAATCGGCGTCGCCCATGGACACCCGGAACACCAGAGGCGTTACAAAAGCATTTATTTCAATGAAACCATAATTTGGTGCTTTTGAAACGTCAACAAATACAAAACAAAATAAATAATAGTCAGTCCGTTAGTGAAGCTAGGTGCTCATTCAAAAATGTAGAATCCAATAGAGAAGAACGAGCAAGAAACTTCATTAATCTTTTTAAAAAAAAGTATGTTCTGCAATATGATACATATTCCTATATTATACGTATATGTGAGAACAATGCAAAGACACGCTTAACGCATTTTATAAATTACAAAACTTATTAAAATAAAAAAAGAACAAAAAAGTTTCTTGTTTATAGTTCTGTCGCTACAAATTCTTTGTAAAATGACAAAGACGGCACAACATTTCGAGTAGAACTTCAAATAGAGTAGACTTTCAGTATTCGGGCGAATCAGGGTTATTTTTCGATAAGCTTGTACAGTTTTTGGTGGTGGCCTCTAAAATGAACATTTTCATCACGAACAATTTCTATGAAAAGTTTAAATCGATCTCATTATATTTTATCTAGGGTTCCCGGAAGATGGTATGCTACATTCGCCGACGACTGCGGCCATTGGCGGTCTTACTAGACAGTCTCCGTCAACCAGCAGGATACGACCACTTTCTCCTTCTAACTCAACTGGTATGTTGTACAATTTTTGTCTGTCTATCTGTTTATTCTGGCTAATCTCCGAAATGACTGGACCGATTATGACTCTGGTCCAGCCAATTACGAAATAATCTCACATACACAAACATACATACATTTTTTTATATATATTTGATGGGGCGACGTTTGACTACTATCTCGCCTGGTGGTAAGCGATGATGCGGTCTGCGATGGAGCACGTCGTCCCATAAGCAACCTTTTCACTCGGGCCTTGAAGACTGCCAGGTTATTACCTTCATTATTACCTTCAGGAAATACAGACTCTGGCAAAGAATTCCGCTCTTTAGCAGTACGCACAAGGAAGCTTGAAGCGAAGCGCTTCGTGCGTGTGGGCGGAACATCTACCATGAATCGGTGACGCTTCGCCGATTGTCTTGTGGTACGATGATGGAAAGGACTAGGGGGAATTAAGTTGTGCAATTCCCCCGCACACTCACCGAAACATTCAGGTCAAAATGAGAACCTCTTCTTTTAAAGTCGATTAAAAAGCATGTAATTTTATTTCTTTATGTCTATGTTTCTAGGTCGGCTCCGCAGTCAGTCCCCGTCTGCCACGAGCGCGACCGACCATCTCCTGTCGCAGTCTCCGTCCACTCGCCTGCAGAGCCAGTCACCTTCCAACAACTCTTCCAACAGTAGAATCAAATCGTCTCCACTCAGGTATACTTACTTAACAATATTATGAATGACTGCACGAACGTGTGGCTGGTTGAAAGGAAGAAAGATAAAGTATTTATTTGGCAAGTAGGTAGGTACACATAAACAGAGATTATAAAAAAATAAAATTAAAGATACTTGTATAATACAAAATATTAATAATAAATTTTAAAGAGTAAAGAAAAAAGCAAAAAAGTATAACAAAATATGTACAATATAATAATAACAAAAATTAAATATAAATAAAACATGCCAAAAGGGCCTCCACCTCAGCATATAGTTCGACGACCATGACCAACGCTGGTTTTCAGGTGATTCACAGACGGCGATACCGACGCTCAATAAGGAAAAGAAAATAAATATAAAATTGTGTAAATAAAACAAATTCTGCAGAATATTTGTGTCAATAGTTGTTATCCAGAATAATAAATAGATGTAATATATGTGAACACAACAAAATTTAAAAATACAATTATAAAACACACGCACCAAGCAACCTCCACAATATGATCCACATACATTCCGAGTCTGGGTATCATGTGTGTGTGAAGTGTGGAAGAGCCATGCTTCGGCACGCACGGGCCGGCTCGACCAGAGTGATACCACGCACTCACAGAAAACCGATGTGAAGCAATGCTTACATTGTGTTTCGTCGTGTGAGTGGGGTTACCGGAGGCCTAATTTCGACCCCCCCCCCCCCCCCTTCACCAGTCTCCCCAATTCCTGAATCCTCTATAATCCTCAAACTCCCAATTCCCAAAAGGCCAGTAACGCACTTGAAACGCCTCGGTGTTTTAGGTGTCCATGGGCGGCGCCGATTGTTTACCATCAGGTGCTCCACCTGCTAGTTTACATGCTAATACAATAAAAAAAAATATGTTTGTAAATGCACCCACGACACAAGAGATAATCCTAGCGTTTAGCATCGATATTTTTAATCTATTTGTTGAACATTTCAGACCTTTTAAAGGAAATAATTTGTTTTAGGCTACGCGAATCCTCTCCGTCCCGCCACATGCACTCCCCTGTGTCGCGACAGTCGCCATCTTGCTACGAGAACGATGTACAACCCAACACACTATACGTCGCTAACTACCCACAGGTAAGGATCAGGATCGGTACGACACGGTACCCTATTGGTTATGTCCGCGACGGTGGCGACGCGTAGCGTTTACAACATTTGCAGAAGCTGTCAAATAATAACAATGTAAACATTAAAAATTTCTTTGCAAATATAAATAAAACCAAAGATTAAAATAGTATAGTTGACATTATTACATATTAGTGTAATTTATTCAATAGTTTTACTGTAAAATGAATATAATAATGAAAACTGGGTTTGCATCGTCCGCATTATTTTGTTTCCAATTTCTGCCGTGTTGTGCGCTGCGGTCGTTATCTGTCCGCCACTACTCGTTTTGCACATAGCCAATATATTGTAGGTTTCGATTCCCGGGTCGGGCAAAATATTACTGTGTTTTTAAATGGTCTAAGTAGAAGCATGGAGTCTAGAATTGTGCCCAATATATGGCAATAGGCTGACCCCCTATTACATGGGACTCATAACATAAATAGTGAAAAGTGGGTGTTACATTGTACAGTGGTATAATGTGTATCTCTGACTACCCTTTCTGGGATAAAAGGCGTGATATTATGTTATTTTTTTTGTGATGTTATGTTTTGTAAAATAAAACCGAACTCAATACCATTGAGTTCATAAAATATCCACGCAATACCGATGAAATGGGCGCTAGTGTTACAACAGTACGAAATTTCACAATATCAATGTCAGTGGACCGGAATTGCATCGAAGAGTAAGTCCCCCGAGTGAGTTCTGTGTGGTGCGTGCAGGTGGAGGCGGGCGGCGCGGAGTCGGACCCGGCGGCCGACGTGCTGGTGCGGCTGGCGCGCGCCGCCGCCGGCTTCGGGTTCCGCATCGTCGGCGGCACCGAGGACGGCAGCCGGGTCGCCGTCGGGTACGTCGTGCCCGGTCAGTACTAGCCTGCTTTGTTGGAACCCACTTCAATATTGTATTACTTTTATAAACTCATAAACACTAGCTTCAACCCCTCTTTTTTGGAACCCCGTCCTGGGTGAGGTGAGAGAAATGTGAGACTCATACTAACTATACATATTTTTTTGTTCAACAAATCTATTTTACGAATAAAGCCTTCACGTTTGATATCCATAATAAAGGTAGTTGTAAAAAAATTGATTATATTATATGGTCATCAAGATTAAGAGTGTGTACCATGTATCAGATCGATGTCTCATCAGGGTAAAATTCCAATTACTAAAACCCAAACAAACGGAGGCTAGTTAAATAAAACCTTTTACAAATCACCCTCTTCCTCGAGCTGGAGCTCTGGTAACTGGTTGCTCTTGGTCTACAACTCTTACATGAATACTAAGGCCTCGTATCGTGCAGGTGGTCCAGCAGACGGGCTGCTCCGTCCAGGCGACCTGCTGACGTCGGTGGACGGCGTATCGCTGGCCGGGGCCACCCACACCCGCGCCGTCTCATACGTCTGTCAGGCGGCGTCTAGGGGACATGTAAGTTATAAATACTTGTTTTTAACCGACTTCAAAAAAGTGGGTATGTAAGTATGTTTTACCGCAAAAATCTTGCGAATCCATTTTGTTACGTTTTTCATAAAAGTAAGTGTATTTTTTGTGGGGGAATATCATCCAATGACTTCTCGCGCCCAGGTGAGGCGAGAGGGAGTGTCATAACTTAGTAAATGCCTGCGGCTGCCATTTTGTGCATGAAGCTTAAATAAATAAATAACTTAGTGGAAGCCTAAGCCGGACTTCAATGTTCCGGTGTTTTCATGGTTGTATCTACTGTAGATCCTGGCTTACAGGAGTTACAGCGGTATTGGGAGGTTGTGGCGGGCTTGTCCCATAAAAAAAAACTTAGTGGAAGTGTAATAACTCCCTCCATTACACGACGAAAGATAATCGTATACTAATAAGATTGTGTTTCATCAGACTAATCCCCACACGGATTCATCCGCTCTGCTCCGCTCATATTGGTCTTAGCGTGATATTTTATACCCTATATATAGCCTTCTTTGATAAATGGGCTATCCAACACAAATAATTATTCAAATCGAACCACTGGTTCCTATATTAGCGCCTTCAAACAAACAAACTCTTCAGCTTTATACAAGGTGTAGTTTTGAAACAGTCTCATTTCTCGGGGACATGTCACAGAAAGCATAAAGGTTCAATGTAAGAGAAAATTTCGAGCCAATAGTTAAAAATACGGTTATAATAAATCGTTTAAGTTCGACACTATTTCAGAATAAGCGACAGCAATGTTTTTTATTGGAGTTTTATGGAATTAGGAATATTAATTACGTGTTTAAGTTTGTGTGTGTTAAGCTAGTTACGAGACGGCGGCATGTACTTGGCATTTACGGATTTCCGTAATTTCATTAAAATTTAAAATATTTACCTACAATTTTTTTTATTGATTCGGACTCAGAATCGATAGCCGAGTTACCTCCTAGACAATGACGCGGCTTTAAACAACACCTTGTATATATAATAATATAAGAGTACAAGATTGAATAATGTAATTTATTTGCATACAGGTGACGCTGGGAGTAAGACACAACCGTGCGGACATCCAGCCACTCGGCCTGCCCACCATGGCGGCTCCGCATACACACCAACCTTTACTGACGTGAGGACTATATTACTTTATAATTATTATTACTCATAATATGTGGTAATAGGCAATTAACATAAATAGTGAAAAGTGGGTATTACATTGTACAGTGGCATTAAGTGCCGTAATGTGTACGTCTGCCTATCCCTTCGGGATAGAAGAAACAGGAGAAAATCCTTCTGTGGTGCAACAAACATTGCCATCTGCCCTTTACAACTTACTACACACTTACTACAAGGTTATATTTTTTATTCAAAAACTCTGTAAATATAATTTCAAAAGATTTTTCACTTGACTAAACTTAACATAATTATGTAACTAATGCCCATATACTGAATCGCCACACAATTTTAAACTGTCAAACACCGCGAGGACACCGGTGACCGCAACCTATTGTTCTTTAATTGTGTCTATAATGACAGTACTCAAAGGGTTAAGTCCCGCGTTAAGTTTATCAGTATTATGGAAGAATGATTTAAAAAAAATACATACATAAATTTATAAATGCGTTGTACAAAATATTTTGCTTCCACGCTCTATTGGATGACAAGGCGGTCGGAATATAATGCCTGGTTGACTTCGCGCACACGACGTCGGCTAAGGTAACAGGGTGACACGCTAGACCTCAACTTCACCTACAAATAAAATACACCGCACTTAGACCCTTACCAACCAAAAAAATAAATATTACACTTGACATAACCGTGTATCCATATTTTCGCACTTTAATTACCATTTTACACTTACACGTGAGAGAACCAAACTTCAACACTGCTGCGCCGGTGTGACACTACCACAGCGTTCTATGAATGAGGGATCCTGAATCTTGAGTCCCTATCCTCCCACCGCCCTTTTCCCAATTCCCAAAGAAGCGGGCAACGTGCAATATCCATTGCCATTGGCAGCGATCGATACTTACCATCAAGTGAGCCGTGTGCCTCCAATCCGTTGGAAAAAGCCGGAAAGCCACTGAACAGACTTCCCCCTTAGTTCACCGAACGACAACACGCTACTTGCATCCAGCACTTCACCTCCTTATGGGTCGTTTGTTAATGCCATTTAATTCACTTTATTAATAATACATAATAATATATCTGATGAGAACACAGACGAATTTGTTTTACGTCTAACGAAATCGAAATGTCGTGGTGGCCTAGAGGTTAAAGACGGGTGACCGCTTCTCACGCTTGAGGGCACGGGTTATCGAAACCTACCAACGGCAAGTAACTATGTGACTACTTCCGAGTTATATGTACCTTCTAAGGTTATTTAGACACCACTGACAAACGGTGAAGGAAAACATCGTGAGGAAACCTGGGCTTATGATTTCTAATTATAAGTTTGAAGTCGCCAACCCGCATTGTGTTAGCCGAGTTAGCCGTTAGCCGAGTGGTCTCAAGTGCGACTGCCGGGCAAGAGGTCTCGGGTTCGATTCCCGGATCGGGCAAAGTATTACTGACTTTTTTTTTAATTCTCAGTAGTACCACGGAGTCTAGAAGTGTACCCCGTATATGGCAATAGGCTCACCCCCTATTACATGGGACTCATAACATAAATAGTGAAAAGTGGGTGTTACATTGTACAGTGGCATAATGTGCACCTCTGCCTACCCCTTCGGGCGTGATGTAATGTTATTTTTATTTATGTTAGTAATGTATTCCACAGCGCGGAGCCGGCCATGCACCACGGTATGCCGCCGGGCTCGTACAACATATTGCACCCGGCGCCCATGTACCCAGCTCCGGCCCATGTACCTATGTGAGTATACATTTTAATATTACTATTAGGTATTGAATCAGAAATCTCTTGACAGATGACAGTTGAGTTGATGGCAGTTCGTTTCATATACTATTACTAGCTTTGGCCAGCGGCTACGCCCGCGGTCCCGTAGGATAAAAAATAGCCTATAGGTACTATTACCTATGTTCTAAAATATGCTAAAAAACGTTCTATTGAGAATTTTAGTGTGGGAGAGCCATGCTTCGGCACGAATGGGCCGGCTCGACCGGAGTGATACCACGGCCTCACAGAAAACCGACGTAAAGCAGCGCTTGCGTTGTGTTTCGTCGTGTGAGTGAGGTTACCGGAGGCCCAATTACCCCTCTTCCCTTCCCCAATATCTCCAATTTCTAAATCCCCAAAGATCCTCTAACTCCTAATGGGGATTAAAGGCCGGTAACGCATTTATAACGCCTCTGGTGTTCCAGGTGTCCATGGGCGACGCCCATTGCTTATCATCAGGTGATCCGTCAGCTCGTTTACCAGCTTATGCCATAACAAATGTTCAAATTGAACATTCTAATTTTGACCAACATTCCGACACATGCTACTAAGTGACAAGTGCTCAATTGAAGCATGCTTTTGTGCTTGAAATTAGCATGTGTAACAGTACCTTTAGTCTTTAGACACCATAATCTACCCCTGTTTCAAATTTCATCGCGATCCCTTCAGCTGTTTCACGTGTATGAATAACAAACATACACACGAACTGACAAAGTTTCACACTTATAATATTAGTTAGATTGTGTTTTTTATGGGCCACTGAGGCCTGAAATATAGGTATAATAAATAAATAAAATAAATAAAATAAAAATTGTTTATTGTACAAAAATTTCACAATAATACATTCACAGAAATGCGGCAATTACATGAACGAGTGTGAATTACGATCGATACTGACACTGCTTTCCAAACTAAGCTATAAGCTTGTATTTTGGAAAACAGTGATTCAGGCCTAGAGTATGTCACGAAGTCGCATTATATGTTACTCTATAATGAAGTGAATGTCATGAAAGTGAATGAATGAAATGGAAGGAGCTGTAATCCAAAATCAAAAATAATAAAATATAAAGGGAAAGTTAAAAGGACTACTTAGGTTAATATTCCGGAATTTTGTGTGTGTGTGTGAGGGTGTGTGCGCGTGTGTGTGTGTGTGTGTGTGTGTGTATGTGTTTGTGTGTGTATGTATGTGTGTGTCGGTTATGATGTATACGCAAGTAAACCTTCAGTTTCGTTGTAATCCATTTGCTGAAGCCAATCACTAATTTTTCTTGTGACTTCTTTTCGGCTGAGTCGTACGATGTTCAGGTTTTTATTAATTATGTTGTAGAGCTTGCAACTGAGACTATTGAACTGTCCTCTGGCAAAAGTAGTATTGGTAGGGATTTGCGGGCATACTGGCATCTTACTGCGTCTGTTTGGATTCGGTAGTGGGACATTTCGATGCCTTCTCAAAGTAGATTTGAGCACAAAGAGCTGTCTGACTGTTAATACCTTACATTCCGAGTACAATTTTGCAGTGGGATATCTATATGGTTTTTTGGTCATCACTTTCAGTACAGCTCTTTGTGCTCTTTCAAGCATAAGAAAAAGCGTTTTGGCTGCCCCTCCCCAAACTGGTATGCAATATTGGATAATGGACTGACACAGAGCCAAATAGACGAATTTTAATTTATCTGGTGGGGCAGAATTTCTTAGATGTTTAAATACGTGTATTAGCCTTCTCACTCTGGAGGTTACAGTGTCTATCTGTTTATCCCATCTCAGTCGATCATCCAAGTTAACGCCCAAGTATTTGACGCTTTCTGCCCTAGTTATTACCTCGCAGGCACACAGTCAGTCTGTCGAGAGTGACAAATGTGAGCTTTGATGGAGAAGTCACGTGGTGGGGCTGTATTTTTACGAATGGAGAAGGCCATAAAATGAGTTTTGTTAACATTTAATGTTAACAGGTTAACAGAGAGCCACTCCATCACTTTAGATAAGGAGTATTCGGCCGTTTCCTTAACCGTTTTCCAGTTTGGACCCCAAACAAATATGGCGGTGTCATCTGCGTAGGTGAATATGTTAGTATTTGGAAGAGTAATTTGGCAGAGGTCATTGATATAGATCTGAAAAAGGGTAGGGCCAAGAATACTTCCTTGTGGCACGCCATAAGTGACCTCAGCCTCATCACTTTCATGACTTCCTATTTTCACACGTTGTTTCCTATTTGTTAGGTAGCTTTCAAAAATGTTGTGGGTGATACCTCGTGCGCCCAGTTTATTTAATTTAGCAAGGAGAATTGGGACAGAGACCGTGTCAAAAGCTTTAGAAAGGTCCAGAAATATGCACAAGCATTTGCTTTTTTCATCTAATTTTTTAACTATGACATTTGTTAGATCCAATACGCGTCTTCCGTGCAATAGCCTGAACGAAATCCATACTGATTATTGGCCAATATATTAAATTTATCCAAAAACTTTTTTAGTGAGATGTTCAGAATTTTTTCCAGTATTTTGGAGATCGCAGGCAGTACCGCAATAGGCCGGTAATTGTTGACACAGCCTCTGTCCCCACTCTTGTATATAGGACAAATTGTTGCTTTTTTGAGCGCATCGGGGAAGACTCCAGTAATAAGGGCAAGGTTACAAATGTGAGTGATTGGGGGAACCAGTATATGGCGACATCGTTTAAGGATCTGTGACGAAATGCCATCCCAGCCCGTGGCACAGTCGGTTCGAAGTTGTAATATGCTAGCTTCAATTTCTGCTTCTGTAACCTCTAAGAGGACAAGTGAGTTCTGTGTGACATTTGGATATGTGTGTTTTGTATCAACGGTATGAGTGACACTAGAGGCAACCCTATCAGCCAGATTTTTACCTATACTTGTAAAGTAGTTGCAGACATGGTTAGTAGACTTTTGGATTACTTGATATGTTTAGTAGTTCTGTAGCATTATGTTTAGGCTTATCTGTGTTTGTTATTTGTTTTATTGCTTGCCAGAGGGCCTTTGGATCGTTACCGGCCTGGTCTATTAAGCTTTTTTCATATGCAGTTTTTAATTTACGAAGAAGACGATTACAATAGTTACGATAACGCGTGTAGATTATTTTATTAGTCATGTTGTCTATTGATTTTTTTGCTTTGATGTGTAGTCTATCACGGTTTTTGATGCATCGGAGTAAACCTGAGGACATCCACGGTTTTAAAATTCTGTGTTTCTTAGTAACTACTGTCGTAGATGTATTGTCGTATATGATGTTCGATACCCGGTAGATAAGAGAATCTGTAGCCATGTTGTATCCTGTATCGTGAGAATATCTGTGAAGTCGGTGTCTTCTAATTCAATTCTAATTTTATCGTAATCAATGCAAGTCTTCGTATTTGGTGGTAGTCTAGTGGAGTTACCTTTTTCAACGTATAAGACTGTCGGCATGTGGTCTGTGACATAGGATTCAACTATTAAAGTAGTGGACGGAAGACTGGGTTTTGTGAAAACGTGATCTAAGCATGTGGTAATTCTTGTGGGCAGCGTATGCGTGGGAAATAGTCCATGAGTGGCATTTAAAGTCAAATACTCCTCACGTAAAGGATCTGTACTGTTAGGACAAATGTCAATGTTTATGTCTCCAACCAGGATAAGGTTATCTGCTGGCAACTCGTTGTAGATGTCACTTAAACTATTAATGAAGTTGGTAAAGTTGTCGCGTGTTTTACAGGAAGGGGAGCGATAAACAGCTAAAATGGTTATATCATTGATTGTCCGGCAGAGTAAACCGGTTGCATTTTTAAAGTTTGGTTCACGTACTGTACACGTTAGGTTTACGTTAGTATAAATAACCACCCCGTCATTTTGGTTTAGCGTAGAGGCCGTCGAATGAGCGACGTAGCCCTCTAATGTTGGCAGGTTGCTCATACCACGTAGCCAGCACTCCGTCAGGACAATGACGTCAAATTTGACATCAGTCGTTGATAGTACCATACATATTTGGTCGAAGTTTTTATTTATGCTACGAATGTTAGCGTGGAAGATCTTAATAGAATGATTATATGTAAGGTACTTTTGACAGTCTTCTGGATGACAGGTGTATGTATTTGTAGAGTCGAGTGAGTCTAGGTCAGTGTTTATATTGTTTATATTTGCCATTTGTAATAAGTAAGAGCCAAGTAAAGGTATACTAGGATTAATATATTCCAGATTATGACAGGTGTAGATGTGATATTGTGAGAGTATATATGTGATGTGAGTTGATTGGTTGTGCTTAGGTATGTAAGGACAGTGTAGTTGGGTTGAGTATTGGGGTATAGACTTCTGTTAGTGATCGTGATATAATTTTGTTTTCTATTTTTCCTTGTTGACGAAAAATTAACCATAGTAAAAGTAAGATGTTTCCTAGATAATACAAGTAGAAATGTCTTTTGAATTAAAAAAGCTAATGTTTCAATTACTAGTCACATGTTTTTCTTGAGATCCAAAAGACACTGTTCAGAGGTGATAAGTATTTGTTTAACCCCTTGCTTTTTACGAAGAAAGATGTTGCCGTTGGACGACCAGCAGTACTCGAAATTATTTTGCTTTGCAAATTCTCGAGATATATAGAAGAGTTTTCTAGAGCTTGCAGGAAGATAATCAGCCACGTATACGGCTCGTCGTTTTCCGGCTAAGTTGATCAACTCCGTGTTAAGCTTTTCTTCCATCGTTTTTTTGTTGTTATTGAAATTACGCACGGAGGATAGAGTGTTAAGTTTCATTTGAACAGTGTGGAATTCGGCTACAATAGGGCGTACTGATCCTTGTTTACCCGGTAGGCGGTAAATATCTCGGAGATCCGTAGGTGAGATCGGTATTCCAACCGTGTTTCCAATTTTACAAACAGTGTCCGTAAGGTCTACGCTAGTCTCTTTATCTTTCAATGGAATATTTCTAACCTCTATGCAGGACGAACGAGATTTGAGTGTTAAATCCTGTACTTTATTTTCCAGGTTTTCTAGACATTTTCGTTGTTCCTGGCGTTCTTTTTTCAGATTGTCTAGTCCTAATTTAATTTCTTCGTACTGTTTGTTTATAAAATTCATAGAACTTTCTATTTTGTCATTAGATTCTTGAATTCTGCTGGTTTGGGTTTTTAGTTCTAATATTTCAGTAGATAATTTTGAGACTAGGCTGTTATGTTTAGCGCACATATCATCTATTTTGGATTCCAATTCTAGTTTCCAGTTATTTAGCAACCCCATAATTTCCTGCTTGAGATCCTGTTCTTTTTGTCTGGGCGATGATTCGTCTGTGCGGGGCCTTTTATTTCGATTAGTTATGAAAGAAACATCACTTTGTTGCAGCGAGTTTAAATCCGTTTCAGACTGGGTATGTCCTATAGGTGACGGAGTAGCGGGAGGTGTACCCTGACGCGGCATGTTTCGAGTTTAATTGAGTAACCAGTCGACAATTTTTTAGTTATGATTGTCGTTGTTTGTCACCATTAAAGATCACAGTTCCAGGACAGCCTTTCTGTGTAGTGCTGTAGCCGGTGTGGCTTTTTCGATTTCAATACCTTTCTGTGTAGTGCTGTAGCCGGTGTGGCTTTTTCTTGGAACTTTGCAGTGCCCCGTGGAAGCAAGGATGTTGGTCGCAACAGCTGTATTTACTTCAAAGCAACTTCAAAGCAACACTCGGACTTTCTTCGGCCAGTTTTGTTCACTATAACAAGCCCGCCTTAGTCAGTTTTGTGACAAAGTGTCGCCGTCTCACTCACCGAACCCCCGAGGGGAGCACCTAACGTCTGCTTGTGGTACGCGTGAGCAGGAGAATCCGATGCACCGTTGCAACCAGTCGTGCGAGACACTGAGCGTAGTACTTCCTCCCGTAGTGTAAGGGGTCTACTAGCTGGTCGATGTTGTATAGAATGGCACGCGCAAAAACCAATCGTGCGAGACACCGACGGTACGGTTAATTCCCATAAGCGATGGGTCAAAGTCACTGGTTTTTTATTTAAACTTAGTACGAGACAACCGAACTCCACGGTGACCGGCCAAAATAATAAATCTATACGTTAATTTTATCTAAAATAAAACTCGTATGAATTCTCGCAACAGACTGAAACCCACTTTTTATTTAACTTATATTAAATTTAATTTCATGTTGACACACACATTCTCATAGATGGCGCTAATGTATAATTTGTTACATAAGTTATATTACATTTTAACAAATTTATTGTCTTTTCATTATCATTGTTTTCTGTTCACATCGTTTGTTTTGTTTCTTGTTTGTTTTACTATTTTCGACTTTTTCATATTCAAAATTAGGATTTATTTTGTTTGCATAACGTGATCTCCTATAATTGGAGAAGCACAAGATATCCTGTTTTTGCATTATCATTGTGTATGTTACGTGTATTCTCTCTGGTGGAGGTCCTTTTTAAATGAATAAATAAAAAACGTTAATCTGTATATTTATTGTATATTATGACTGCCTCTTTGGCCGAGGGGTCGTAAGTGCGACTACCGGGCAAGGGGTCTCGGGTTCGATTCCCGGGTGGGCAAAGTATTACTGGGTTTTTAAGTATTCTCAGTAGTAGTACGGAGTCTGGAATCGTGCCCGGTATATGGCAATAGGCTCACCCCCTATTACATGGGACTCATAACATAAATAGTGAAAAGTGGGTGTTACATTGTACAGTAGTATAATGTGCACCTCTGCCTACCCTTTCGGGGATAAAAGGCGTGATGTTATATTATGTTAATCTGTATGTCCAGGTACGGCGTGCAATATGACACGACGGCCGGTGGATGGTCGTCCGTGCCCTATGACGTCACAGTCACCAGAAACGAGGGCGAAGGATTCGGTTTCGTGGTTATCTCCTCCGCTAACAAAGCTACTAGTACTATCGGTAAGTGTTTCTAAATTGTATTTGTAATATTAATTATTGGTTTCGACTTGAGCACGTAACTGTTTGACGAGGAACTCGACTAGTTTCAAGCCATGCTAGAGGCTCATTATGTTGCGGAGAACCTAACGGGTAACCGGGGCTCCGGCTCGACGTGCAGGAGAAGGAACGGGGTGGTTTTTAGTCAGTAAGAGTCTGACACTCCCTTCCGCCTCACCCAGGCGGGAGCAGTCATTCGATGAGTTTCCCCCCTTAAAAAAAAGGCTCATAATCATGAGCAGCAAACATTCAAAACAATTATGACGTCACAACTACGAATTTCGTGCAAAATAAAATTCAAAGAAAACTAGCGTTTTTTGCGTTATAGTAAAAGTACTCACAAAATTTGTGTATTGAAGTCGATGTCTTGAGCTTGTTGTAAGGCATTTCTATTAAAAACAAAGTACGATCCAGATATTTTGTACTAACGATCAAATTTTGGAATAACCATTTAATCGTTTACCTTTTACTAACCAAACTAAAGCCCTATAACTTTCGTGAGACACACAAATTATTATGTGTTCGGCATACTCACGTAACTTGAAACTAGTCGAGTTCCTCTTCAAAGTTAGGTACGTGAGTAAGCCGAAAACATAATAATTAAGATATGACAGCCATCGTACTACCTCAAAAATAACTTTTAAAAAACCAAACTTTAAAACAATTACAGGCCAACTGATCCCGAACTCACCAGCCGCTCGTTGCGGTCTACTGCACGTGGGCGACACCATCGTTGGCATCAACCACGTGTCTATCCGTAACCTGCCGCACCCTGAAGTCGTCGCGTTGATCAAGCACTCGGGCACCAGCGTCACTCTCACTGTACTACCGGACCGGGCCCACTGACGCAGGGCCCTCAGTCTGCCGCTGAGACAGACTGCTTCTGACAGGTATTAATCCAGTACACCGCTAAATAAGTAATCATCGACAGCCTGCTATATATCACAGCCCATAAGTGTCCACTGCTGACTAAAGGCCTGTTACGGCCCCGACATTGTCACCGGACGGCCGCGTTAATACGTGCACGGCATACTTTCTCTATGCCGTGCGGAGTTTCGAGCTCCGAGCGCCCCGCGGCGACGCGAACCAGTCGTTGCCCGTGTGCCGAAGCGAGTCCACGCACGCAATACGCGTCATCAGCGTCTCAAATCAGAATCACAAGCAAGCCTAACACAGCGCTAACCACCGGCACCACCTTCAAGCAAGTCGGATTATAACATAATTACATATCGCTAACAGGCCTCTTCTCACATGAAGGTTTGAGCATTAATCACCACACTTGCTCAATGCGAGTTGGCGATTTTAAACTTATAATTAGGTTTCCGCACGATGTTTTCCTTCACCGTTTGTCAGTGGTGTGTATAATAATCTTAGTAATGCATAAAAATATTTTTTTTATGTTCAACGGTTTTGATGAGTTCTATTTCACTAAGCAAGTTTGGACTTCCGTTTGATTTCCATAATGAAGGTAATTGTGGAAATATTTATTGTATATTATTGTTTGATGATCATGACAAATAGACAGATTTCAGATTGAGGTAAGATATTAATTTTTGGCCGTAAAAGTTAGCAAATATCAGATCGACCTATTGTTAAGAAGAGGGTAAAATTCCTATCATTATATTTGATCAAAACAAATAAAACCTTTTAAAAATACGACGGTAATGATATCTTCTGATTTTTATAGTGACTATTGTGATACATACTAAATTTACTAAAAATCACGGGTTACTCAAGTAACCGTTTGACAAGGAACTCGACTAGTTTCAAGCCATTCTAGAGGCTCATAATTATGAGCACCATTCCCCGACTAGTCGAGTTTCTCGCGAAACAGTTACGTGTGTAAGCTGAAAACATAATAAATAAAATGTTCTGTGTTGATAATCTCCGTATGAAGTAACTAGTATTTGTTTTTTTAATTAATTAATTAATATTATAATCTCAAATATTATGTAGTTGTCACTCATATTGAGTAACTCCGTGTTTTTATCAGTTTCCCATGATAGAAAACAGTTTATCGTAATGGAAGCAAAATGAATTTTTTGTCTATAAATTAACTAAAACCAATTGAGCAATTGTGCCGTTGAATAAAACAAGGTAACCGACTCGCCGTTATCCTAATAAAATGATATAACATTACTTTTAATAAATTTTATAATACTAACGACTATGTCGTCCTCTTAATAATAATATTTTAATGTTACCTATCTTCCTGAAAAAGGAAGATTTTAGACGAAACATTACATTGATTTCATGTTCTTAAATATTTTTATGTCATACGAAAATAAACCTAACATCATTCATGTTGCAAATGTCCAGTTAGAATTTACCACTGAGCTCAACTAATAAAATTAATATAATGTCTAAAAAGATAGTAAAGTAATGAATCTTACAATATATGAATTAAGACAGGAAGAAGACATAGGAAGGTAGGGAAAAATACACCCAGTTTAATAGGGATGATGACGAGGTATTAAATTAAAAATGTTAAAAATTAGTCCGTCAGGTAGGAAATGAAAACATATTAGACACGTATTTTATTATGGAGCTAAATCTTATACAAACCTTGATTGGTTCAGGAGTTATGGTTACTCCTGTGGTGAATTAGAATTTATTTTCTTATCTGATTGAACAAATGACAAATATATGTTATATGAAATACATACATACAGAATATAATGAAATACGCATTATATGCAAGAAACTCGCCTTTATATAGCGAATTCATACTTTAAACACATGGTAACCGTGAAAAGTATAGCTTTAATAATGAATATCTAAATTAGGATTACATATAAATATAAATAATAATTAATTATATACAATTTTCAATACTTCTATTATGCAATATACATAAGTAATTATAGCGGTAAAATGTTGCTTTTTTTTCAAATAGGAATTTATAAGTCCTTTCAAAAATGGAAAGAAACCTTGGGGCTAACTTTTGAATCCAATTCCACTCGATCGACATTTGTATTGTGAAATTTCGTACTCTTGAGTTGCAATACTAACGCCCATTACATCCGTATCGCGTGGATCTGAATGCTATTTCAACAGCTACGAAAGGGGTGGTACAATTTTGACATTGAATCATTATTGAGATTTTATTGGATTGAAATTGCATTGACATTGAGATTGTTTCAAGAGTAAGCACCCTTGTATTAGCAAATCGGTACACATATAAAACTAAACTTCTTGAAAACAGTATTCACAGAATTGTGTAATTACTAAGATCTGATATAACGCCAGTTATTTACAGAAAGTCTAAGCAATAAGCGGCAGCTATTGTAACTCCTTGCTCAATAACTCGATAATTAATTCCAAGATTCATCTTACTATATTACTAATATACTAAACTAGTTTCTGTCTGCGATTTCGTTTTTTTTTTATGGATAAGCCCGCCACATCCTCCCAAAACCGCTGCAACTCCTGTAACCCAGGATCTACAGTAAATACAACCATGAAAACACCGGAACACCGGCGATTTCGTACCCACAAACCCGCATTTTTCCATTCCCGTTCGTGATTATCTGTCAACAGTAAAAAATGTATCGTATAGAAAGTCCTATGTCCGTCTCCTGGTTCTAAGCTACCTCCCCACCAATTTTTATTCAAATCGATTTAGCCGTTCTCATGTTATAAATAGTGTAACTAACACGACCTTCTTGCATATACATATAGATGTGAAAGTTTGTGTGTATGTTTGTTACTCAATCGCGTGAAAACGTCTTAAGGGATCGAGATGATATTTGGAACAGCGATAGATTATAGTGTGGAATGAAACATAGGCTATTTTTTATTCCTTTTTATTTCAAGAGAACGCGGGCAGAATATAGTGTAATAATAATAATTATGTATTTGTTTCGGCAAGTGCCATAGTCATCCATAGTTCCCAATTTACCAGTCCACAGTAACCCATCCATAGCCCTACCTTTTTTTTTTCATTATCCACTATAGTTCTACACTAACCGGGGACTGTCCTTGGGTGCATTTCCATAGTGCATACAGGGATAGTCGCCGTTTGTGTTGTGTCCATTACATTTAGATTAAAGTTGTCTAAAGGGCTTCTGCGCAGTTGGCTTCGACCCATCGTACGCCTCTCAAATGACCGGGACCCTGTGGTCCCGTAAAGATAATTATGTATTAAAATTTTCTATTTACAATATTTAAAATGTAGAGTACAGCTATTGCTATTTTGTATTATAACTTTTGTGAGACATAATATAAATTGATTATGTGACTTGGCGAGTTAACTCGAATTAGCAATGCTGCTCATGATATGAATATGAGCTAGCTACTAGCGTGGCTTGGAACTGGTCGAGTTACTTCATCAAAGAGTTAAACATGTTTAAGAAGCTAGTTAATAAGATTTTTTGTTCTAAACTTCAAGCAATTTGCAAAATATAGTGAAATTCGCATAGTGACAACTGTCATCTTCAATACTGAATTTACGACTTACGTGATACGATGTTTGTCTAGTTTCTATCACTATCATGCACGGCGAATGATGTTACGTAGCTAATCGAGAGTTCATTATGAACTCCAGTATACCTTGAAACTGATCGGGTAAGTCGTAAATAATAACTTATGCACATTTACACGATTTTAGAAGTAACAAAATTATTACACACTCTTGCTCAGTATTTAATATAGTATTTGGACGTTTTCTTCTATTTGTTACATAAATAATTTAATAAAAATGTATGCTCATAAAACCCAGAATCTTCCTAAAACTGTTGTGAATGAATCTCTATGATATTATGTAAATATTACTTTATTAACTCGTCGAGTACCGGTTTTATAGACACAATTAAAGAACAATAGGTCGCGGTCACCGGTGACCGCTTGGTGTTTGACAGTTTAAGGTACCTTAAAAGTCTAAAACTTAGTCATAATTTCAGGCAGTTATTTAGATTTAAGACTAAATTAGGCAGTTTTTAGAATTATAGAGTACACTGTATGGTAGGAAAATCCAAGAATTAGGGTACTTATTGTTATTATTAATTGAATTATGAGATTTTTATATAAGGTAGTTACTTTACAAAATATTGTCCCTACCAGACAATCGCTGTTGATTCATACACAATAAATGTCCATATACATTGAAAATGTTACTTGACACAGCAAATAAATGTTTATAGAATTAATCGATGCACTGTGAAATCTATTTCGTTTTCATTTCGCGGCAAAACAACTTGCCATTTTTAGGGGGGAAAGTCATCGAATCACTGCCCCCGCCTGGGTGAGGCGGGAGGGAGTGTCAGACTCTTACTGACTAAAAACCATCCCGTTCCTTCTCCTGCTCTTCGAGCCGGAGCCCCGGTAACCCGTTAGGTTCTTCGCGACTCCGAAAACAACTTGACATAAGGAGTACTTTCGATGTATAAAGTAAAAACAAAAAATATAGATGTACTTTTTTGTGTGAAAACATCTTTCATACGCACTTGAAATACTAGACATAAATTTGTGGGCACTATTCGCATGCCACGTCCCACCCAACGAGAAATACCTCAACTAGAATAGGGTAGTTTCCAAAATGTTATTTAAATGTCCGTTTGGTACATTAATTTAAAACTTTAGACACGTATATTTCTTTTCTCACAAAATTAAAATAATACTTTCGACGATATATTAATTTGAAATATCGTGTGACGTCACAGCATGCCACATTTTGTAGCTCGTTATGACGTAACGACCTCCCACTCCTAAACTTAGCGCCATTTTATATGTACCATGATGTCGAATGCGCTAACGAAATTTGGTTTTTGCACCACTTATTTATTGTTTTAAACTTTTTATTTCTTTGTAAAACGATTTTATTACTAAAACAGAACCATTTTACTTCGGGACAAAATCGAAATGGATTTCACGGTACATACACATACAAATTACTATAAACGATACCCTTCCATATGAAATGCAATAAGTCCAGTTAATTTTAAGAATGATTAACTATAAAAACTAGAATAACATTTAACTTACCCATTTACTAGATAATTATGGTGACTGATTATAAAATTATTTTACTATAACACTGATTAGGAATGTATTTATATCAGTAATATTAAATTTGGACCACCGAGTTTGGGAAATTACCTATAGAATTAAGATTTATAATCTTATGTACCGATATGGTAGCTAATTTTGACGAGTAATCAATTTTTTGCCGATATATAGACTTAGTTATTGATTGCAATGTTCTTGTATAGTTTTTTATGTATCTAGTAAAGTTTTAGTGTGTAGATATTATGAATTGTTGTAATGTATCCATTGTCGTCCATTGTGTCTTCTGAAAACATAAACTTTCCAATAATATTATGTAAAACTATCTTTATTGTGTACTTAAATTATAGAAAATGAAACTAAACTAAACATCTAGAATCTCTTTAAATATGGATTATAATATTGTTCTCCAATTAATGAAATTAATTGACCAAAATACCTTTATTTTTCTATCCATATCTGGCTTTAAAATCATTATAAACCGTCGGTTTTTCGCAACATATTATTATGGATAATTAAAACTACGGTTTTTAGTCTAATTAGTTATAAGAAATTGCAATAATCGATGTGCCTTGTGTGTAAACATTGTCTTGCCTTATCCAAGATTGTAAAAAAATGAATAACAAAATAAAATAATTGTATAAAAGTATATCCAAAGAAGGCTCCATTCCGTTCATCTGATCTGTAGATCCGAATGTATAACGATAGTTTAAGAGAGATTTACTCAATAAATATTTTTATTTAATTTGTTGCTGTTTTATTATGAAATGTTTCCCTTAGAGTTCGCATTAAAGAAATTCAACAGACGCCATCTTGTCACACGGCTTTTTACTATGTTTTTCTTCAATGATTCTTCCTCCATTTTATTTTTCAACCTTTTTTTGGGGGTGAAAATCATTCAATGACTTCTCCCGCCCGGGTGAGGCGAGAGGGAGTGTCAGTCTGACACTCCGTCAGACTCTTACTGACTAAAAACCACCCCGTTCCTACTTTTGCACTCCGAGCTTGAGCCCCCCGGCAACCCGGTATCCGGCATCAGCCCTATTGTGCCCCATTTGTGGTGGTCTGATGGCTCATTAAGGCGCGCGCTTAATTTGAACGAACTTAGCGACAAAATAAAACAAAACAGTATTCTTAAAATATATAATTCATATTGCTTAAAAGTAAACATGCTGCTAGTATACAGCTATAGGTAAGTAAGACCAGATCACGTAATTTTGATACTTTAAAAGTAATAATTTCCAAAACACAGTTAACTTTTTATCAGACTTAATTGTTTAGTAGTTTTGCAAACTTTACAAGCTAGGGGCTACCCTTATCTCGGCCTTGCGGCCACCAGATGCAGCCACCTCTAGGATCCAGTTGGTGTATCTGTCGACCCTGGTGAAGATATCCGGGAACTCATCATCAAGGCAACCCTTGAAGAAAGATGAGGATCCTACGATAGCGTTATTGATCACCATGGGTGCACCAGAGTCGCCCAAGCACATACCCTTACCGGCCGCAGCTGCGCAGATCACGACTAGAATAGAAAAAATAAATCAAGTGAGTAAAAAACTATATAAGATCAACTCTACCATGTGCATAGACATTTTTAGCCTCTATACATGTCGAGTAATTTATAAAAAAGTGGTTCTTACAATATTCTATAAATTTATAATCATATTTAACTTCAGTTTGGAACTCTTGAGGACCCTATTGTTTCGTCCGTAATGACGATAATACGTAATATAACATCACGCTTTTTATCTCCAAGGAGGTAGGCAGAGGTGCACATTACAGCACTGAATGCCACTAAAATGTAACACCCACTTTTCACTATTTATGTTATGAGTCCCATGTAATAGGGGATCAGCCTATTGCCATATACCGGGCACAGTTCCAGACTCTGTGTTACTACTGAGATTTGTTAAAAACCGACCACTCGGCCAACGAGGTAGTTCTTATTAACTCACCATCAGAAATTTCAACGCTTTCTGTGTCTCCGTACACTGCCTGGCAGTCGGCAAGGCTGAGCTTGTTCAGGAACACGGTCTTCAGGGTTTCTAGTTGAGGTCCGCTCTCCTGTTTTGACATAGGAGTTAATATTAAGTTAATATTAAAAGATTTTTTTAAATAAGGAGTAAGAATCTGAATCATAACATCATAACCACAATGCGGCGATGGCTAGAGTAAAAAACTCTTCCCGTGGGTGTCTTAGTACCCGAATTAGGGACTACAAGTTTAACAGAAACCTGGATAGGTTTAGGCCCTTTTGAATAAACCTGAGGGCTTAGTACGAATTTGTTTAACGTTTAAAGTTATCGAAATGGACACGTTTTCGGATTCTGAGTGCCAAGCACGAATAACTATCGCATTCGTAACGTAATAGAATCGAACGCGTTCGGCGCTCTGATTGGCCGGCTCAAGTGAACCAACCAATCAGAACGCTTAACTCGCTCGATACTGTTACGATACGAATGCGATAGTTATTCGTGCTTGGCCCTCAGATTGGCCGGCTCCAATGAACCAACGGAGCGCGGGCTCGTTTCGATCCTTTTAAACTCTTTTAAGTGTGGGAGAGCCATGCTTCGGCACGAATGGGCCGGCTCGACCGGAGTGATATCACGACCTCACAGAAAATGACGTGAAGCAACGCTTGCGTTGTGTTTCGTCGTGTGAGTGAGGTTACCGGAGCCCCCATTACCCTCCCCTTCCCCAATCTCCCCAATTCCTAAATCCCCAACGATCCTCAAACTCCTAATCTCCAAAAGACCGGTAACGCACTTATAACGCCTGTGGTGTTCCAGGTATCCATGGGCGACGCCGATTGCTTACCATCAGGTGATCCGTCTGATCGTTTACCGGCTTATGCCATAAAAAAAAATTCCTTGATAAAAGTGCCTAACGTCTTGTTTATTGGAATTTACAATTGGACTACTTTAACTGTTATCTATTAGTAAAAGAAATCGGTCGTTAAGTCAACATTTTCGTTAATTTTTTAGCTTTATTACAAAACCCATAAGGTTGAAATCTAAATCTAATCGGAACTGCCGCGTGCTGGCCCGGTAATGTTATCTATCAGTTCCATTTGAGACTGCTTGGAGACTACTCTATTTATTTAACACTTTAGTCAAATTTCAAACAAAACAGTAGCATGATTATATAACCTATATCTATTTATTATAGTGTGACTACTTCGTTAGTAACAAACATTTTCAACTACCTATGTTCAATAGAATTCAATTTAACTCGTCGAGTACCGTATTTATAGACACAATTAAAGAACAATAGGTTGCGGTCACCGGTGACCGCTTGGTGTTTGACAGTTTAAAATGTCCCACTGATTTCTGTATATTCTGGGCTTAATGAATTCTACCATTCTAGATAGACTTTGGGACTTTATCACTAATAGATTTACGTCTTATGATAGGTATTTTGTTAACATTAAATAATTGTACTCACAGATTCGAATCCCCAGCTGACAACCTTAACAGATTGACCGTCAGCTATGTAAGAGTTAGGGGGAGGCAAGAACAGGACATTAATGACGTTGCTAATGCCGAGTGGAGTTTTCAGGAAGGTCACAGCGATATCATGGGCTCGAGGAGTTTCTACGTAGCCAGGATTCTTCACAACGTGGTCGATTTCCACCACAGTTCCGCCAGAGAGACTGTTCGTAGAGCCCGCACGAATTCTCATGTTATCCAAATTGGCGCCACTGTTGAAAGTTGGAAAATTATTTTTTTATACTTTTAAGTATGGGAGAGCCATGCTTCGGCACGAATGGGCCGGTTCGACCGGAGTGATACAACGGCCTCACAGAAAACAGACGTGAAACAACACTTGCGTTGTATTTCGTCGTGTGAGTGAGGTTACCGGAGGCCTAATTACCTTCCCCTTCCCCAATCTCCCCAATCCCTGAATCCCCAACGATCCTCAAACTCCTAATCCCCAAAAAGCCGGTGACGCACTTTTAACGCCTCTGGCGTTCCAGGTGTCCATGGGCGACGCCGATTGCTTACCACCAGGTGATCCGTCTGCTCGTTTACCGGCTTATGCCATAAAAAAACCACTGGGATTTGTGTCGTGGGTGCCTTTACAAACATGCAATGTCATAAGCATGATATCCAAACACGAAACAGGAATTTGTGGATCACATAAAGAATGGCTTCGTGTCACTGATTCAAGAATAGAGCTCGCTACACGTTACGCAGCAGACGATTATTCAGCCACCACGCTAATCGTGCAGTCACATAATATATGTATAAGTAGGTATGTGAAAAGAAAACCGTTTGTATGTTGTCCGTTTGCAATCTCCACAACTAAAGGACAGATTAGAATGAAACTATCTAGCTAAAAATCCTGGACAACATATAGTATAATTTGTTTTAGAAACTGAACAAACATTATCTGTTTTAAGTTACGCGGGCACAAGCTAGCATAGTATGTTGTCTAATTGTCTATAATACTTACGTGAAACAGAAGGCAGAAGTGAGGACATGGAAGGAGGAGACCAAAGTGCCGACACAGCGCTGCACAGTTATGCCAGGTCCAGGGTACAGGTAGGTGTACGCGACTGCGTAGGGGAACTCTTGGATCGTCACATGTTCACCACCCACGATCCGGCCCTCTGGTGCTGCCGAAGCTAAAAATATGGATAGAAAAGTTTATGTATTACATACACCTAACTGCCACCAGCTTTTTTATAAATACCTACAGGCAGAAACCGACATCATAATGATACGTTACCTAGATATCTACAATATGTACGTACCTGCCTATTTGTAATAAGTACCTATGTATGCATATACCTCTATAATATGTGTGGACCACTCTTCCCATCAACACTTCTTTTTTTTTTATTATATGATGGGCCCACGGTTGGCCACTAACCCACCTGGTGGTAAGCGATGATACGGCCTACGATTTAGTTTACTATTAGTAGTTTAGTTTCACATATTAGTTTACTATTTCCTAAAACCTTATGCAAATGAAGTAGGTAAGTAGTGTGCTTTTAAGTTACAGTTAATACATTGGTCACATATTTGTCTGTCTGTCAGTCTATAATCACGTTAATAATGATCAGACTAGCTAAATGTGCACCAAATTGCATCGACACGGTGTCGGCTGCCCATGAATAATAAGAATTCCTTTGTAACTTCAAACTATGTAGGTAGTATCTAGAGCTTTTCTCAGTCACTTGACGGAGGGAAACTATTATTTTCAATTAGTTTGTCTCACGATAGTTATTGAATATATTGACACACTACCCATTTTAAAATATTATACTACTAAGAACTCGAGAAATTCAATTAAATATCTTTGAGCAAAATAAGGTTAATGTTACTAAATTAAATTCGGCTATAATACGTACCAACAGCTAAGATAGCTAGGAAGAAGTATGCGACAGAAGCCATTGCTGTGTTCTGACCCAGTGGAGTACACACCAGAGTGCGGACAGGGTAAGACTATATACCCATCGCACAGGTTTATCAATGAAGGCTGCTTAACTATACAGAGTGTTTTAATAACAACTCATGTTATTCTGCGATTTCATGATGACCGTACTTTTGATTGTAGAATATCTAATTTGTTCTATCGTTCCGAGAATATTTCTCCAATAGAATTTAAAAACTTCTCAATTTATATTTTATTTCAGTAATCACAAAATGCCGCGTGCATTTTTCAAAGGTTAGCAGAAACTTTGGAAAAACTAAAGTAATCATTGTCCGATAATTTGGGCCCGCTCTGTCCGTTACAATATTATGTAAAAAAATGTTGAAATATTATGTGAAAAAAATGTCTTCTAGGGCCCCCAAACAAATTTTTCTACGGGGCTCCCCCAAGATACGCCTCTGGGTGAGATCTTACAATATTTTGTGACTATGATTGTGAAAAATAGATGATATATACTTAGTTATTTTAAGTTGTTACTTAAAATTAGGTACTACGCTGTCCTCTCGAGAGATACCAAAAAGCAAGATCTTACGTAAGTAGGTACTGAAAGAGGAGTACATCTGACATCTGTAATAATAATTCTAGAAGGCCTCTAATAAAGTGTTGGTCCCCTGTATAAAACTCCGGTAACGTATTTGTATTGTATCCGATAATGTGCATTGACAATCACGCACGTACGAATTATCTAATACACCGAGATCTTTTGATACCGTGAGCCAATAATTAGGTTTGTTATTTATAGTAATTATTACTTTAATTCTTATTTAACGGATTAGTACTTGTTGATTACCAGATTATTACCTGTTAGGTAATTAATCATGAACTTTCTACATGCAAGTTACCTACCTATGTACGCATAAGTACCTACTTTTTTGATATCGAAAGAAAATGAGAATTACCTGGGCGTTTTAGAGTCGATTTTTTAGACGGATCATTGTAAACAGTAAAATTGATATTCGAATGTTTTAAGTATGGAATAATAGTTAAATATTCAAAACTAGCTTCTGCCCGCGACTTCATACGCGCAATCCCATTTTCCACCAGTTCCCGTTCGTGATTTTCGGTAAAAAGTAAAAAAACTATTCTATAAAAAGTAGGTATCCTATGTCCGTCTCCTGGTTCTAAGCTACCTCCCTGCCAATTTTCATATAAATCTATTGAGGCGTTCTTGAGTTATAAATAGTGTAACTAACACGACTTTCTTTTATATATATATAGATTAATCCTTCGTCTAGCTGTTACCCGCGACTTCGCCCGTGTAGAGGATGTAAACAAAATAATTATGGCACACCACAGGGAGGGATTCTATCCCCGCTTCTCTTTCTGATTTACATCAACGACCTACCCGAAGCAGTAGGCAAAGATTGCATATTATTCGCCGATGACACCACTTTAATCATTAAGAGTGACAATAATACAGACTTAGAAAAGGATACTGCCCTAGCGCTGAACAACGCAGTTAATTATCTGGTAAAAAATAACTTACAAATTAATATTGCTAAAACAAATGTAATACAATTTCAAACACACAAATCAAATACAACAAATAATCTAGACATCCAATACAAAAACTCTCACCTAACTACTGTGGATAATTGTGTATTTTTAGGTATAACAGTTGACAAAAATTGCAGCTGGAAACCACATATTGATAAAATTGTTGCAAAAATTGATCGTTTTGTATATGTACTAAAAAGGATTCGACAAACAACAAATCATCAGACGACAATGCTTGCGTATCATGGCTATGTATCGTCCGTACTTCGTTACGGTATAATAATTTGGGGGAACTCAGTGGAGGTTGATAGAGTCTTTAAATCCCAAAAAAAAAGCATTCGAGCAATCTGTGGAGCTCATTTTTTAGACAGCTGTAAACCACTGTTTCAAAAATTAAATATCCTACCTTTACCATGTCTATACATTTTTGAAATATGTACTTTTGTAAAAAGAAATTACATTCTATTTGAAACTCTGGAAGACAGACCAAATAGCCGAACACGGCATAAAGACAGACTTCGTTTACCACGAATAAAATTAAAATTATTTAAGAAAAATGTATATTGTATGTCCATAATCATTTATAATAAATTACCAAATAGTTTACAAGAATTACCATTGACATTATTTAAGAAAATGCTTTTTAAACTTTTGCTATCCAAGTGTTACTATAGTATTAAGGACTATTTAGAAGATAAGACGATAGAATCTTGATAGTGTAATTTTAATAATAAATTTGCACGCCATATACGGCAGGATACGCTGGAAAAAAAAATTACTGTAACACCTTTTGTACCGTATTTTAGCAAATAAACATTTTTGATTTGATTTGATTTGATTTAGAATAATGACTTTTGGCATAATTTGGGCTTTTGAATTAGTCTTTATCAATGTAATAGATGTCATCAGAATTGATTCAGTACCTAGGTTATACCTATATTTATTGCGAAAGGTATTCATTTTCGAGGTTTTTAAAAATAAACATTCCCACGGGGATTTTAGCCATAAAGGGCCATACTCTTTTTTTCTCAGTTAAAATTTATCTGGCGATGGAGAAATCAAATTCAAATTCAAGATGTAAAAATAATTATTATATTTTGTATTGCCTTCTGCTTGTGCACTTGAACACAAGCGGGAGGGCTGCATACCGCATGGCGTGCTACAAATTCACTTTTTCAGTGAAATTATCTAAACTATTAATGTTGTATGGATTTTTACTTTCATTCACAAGTAGGTAGGGCCTGATTCCATTCTATGCATTGTTTTTTTTATGGCATAAGCCGCATAGACACCTGGAACACCAAAAACATTACAAGTGCGTTACCGGCCTTTTGGGGATTAGGAGTTTGAGGATTGTGGGGGATTGGGGAAATTGGGAAAGGGGGGAGGGTAGCTAACCTCACTCACACGACGAAACACAACGCAAGCGTTGCTTCACCACGGTGGAACACACAGTCAGAGAATGCTCTGCGTGGGCTGAGCACCGCCGTGCCCTTAGGGGAGTGATCGGCCATGGCGACCTCTCGCGTCCGGGCCTAGTGCAGGCCATGATGCGGAGCGAGGGGGACTGGGATGCCGTCTCCTCCGTTTGCAAGGCAGTCATGCTAGCTAAGGATTTTCTCCCCTTAAAAACAACACAAAACACCTACAACTTAAAATTGAGTAGATTTCAATACTCAGTCGTAAGTACCTAACAGAAATGGATTGAATTGGGTAGTTTCCAGGGTATTAAAATTAAAAATCTAATTAGTCCGTCAGTTACATAATGAAAAAATATTAGACACGTTTTTTTATTTTCTCGTATTAAGTTGCAATACTTAGATAAGGAGGCGCTAAGTATAGGAGTCGTTACGTCATAACGTGCTACAAAATGGGACACGCTGTGACGTCACACGGTATTTCAAATTAATATATCGTCGAAAGTATTTAATTTTGTAAGAAAAGAAAAAATACGTGTCTGAAGTTTTAAATTAATGTGCCATGCAGACATTAAAATAAAATTTAGTATACTACCCTATTGCCTCACTTTAGCCTAGTTCCAGGATTTTATGATGTACCTTTGTAGGAAAGCACCTAAATCTTTTATTCCGTAGGGCTAGTATTCTGTGGTAGATGAATAAAGTAAGTACGTACATATTTTTCAGATAACAATAATAGCGTTTCTTTTATATTATTTCCCGATAGCAAGCTATGAATCCATATATATATATAAATCCTTCTGCGAACATGCTATCTGGGGTTGGGGGGGTTGTGGTTAGCATAGTGTCCCACCCACCCACACGCCACACGCACCTAAACTACCCTCCAAAGGCCGCTAACGTTGTAAGAGGTGTCACAAATATAGCGGAGGGGTTTTAGCCGGTAAGAGTCACCCCCCACCACCACCACCATCGATCCCACGACGAGGGAAGTTTAAGTTATACTTGTTACACTCTTTGGATTTACGATACAAAAAAAACACGGTGTTATCCTCTTTGGACAAGTTGTGTCAGCATTGTGTACCTACTATAGAATGAATGAGCCTATTACGGTGTTGCCAGAAACCCATCAAATTATTCGACTGGGTGGATAAAGTACTTAGCATTGCCAACCTGCATTACCAGAGACATCACAAACACAATGCATGGAAAACTATTTAATTGCGCCATCGTTTTCACCTAAAGTAAGTTATACCACAGGTGGGTAAACAACAGGTTCGGTATCTGGAAAACTCTCATACCATAACCAGAACAGCAGCAACACTACGGCATGACTCTGGTATTCTGTAAGAGGTTGGTGTGGTAGGTACCTACTTCCCGGTCTCTTCAAGATGTATACCTACAGTAGACAGGCCTGTAACTTCTCGGTAACCTCACACCTTATCCTGTAAATATAGTAGTATGTAGTAGGCAGTGTAGTCAATGGAAACGAAAACCGAGAAAATCGGTGTTATGTATACCTACCGATAAGAGCGAGGCCTTATTTGTCCATTGCGTGCGTCGTCGCAACGTCGTTTTCTGTATATTTTTTTACATGACATGCCCTATCACACCACCTTGAGTCGTCGCGACGCAATGCAGTGCAACGGACATATGGGGCCTCGCTCTAACAACTATAACAATGTCATGTCTAAGGTAACAGTCGTTCAAGGTCGGAGAACAAATATTCAAATTCAACTTAGTCTGTCTATCCCGCAGAAAATACAACTGTGATAATCGTATTGATCTTTCAGATAACCTAATTTTAATTAATTTGTGAGATAAAGTAGTACTTGTTGCGATATCTGTGTATCACTGTGTTGTTGCATTATGTGGCATTAAATCATTAATTAGTATCGGCTGCCTATCAACTATCAAGTGACCGAACACCAAAACTGCAAGAAGTTATGAATAATTCTTGCTCAAAGACGATAGAGAAACGTCTTCCAAAAAGGTAAAGTTTGGTGTCTATATAAAAGACAAGCAGAGTAGTAAGTAATACTGGCTGTAAAACTTTGACAAATTAAAAGTATCTAATATATAAGAAAAAAGTAATGTCAAGATAATTATGTTGTTTATTTTGTAACTCTCAAAATTGTTTGTCTTGAATATCCTCATACTCAATAATAAATAATATGGGAAATCAAAGTTTCAAGAGCAGGGACTTGGGTTGGGGATCTTCTGATTCTTCAGAAGAATCAAATGCAAAATTGAATTTTAGTCCAAAATCCAAACACAAGTTTGAACAAGTGACAAGAAGAAAGACGTACAAGAAATCAAAACTAAAACCTATTTCAATGAGGTCTACTAAATCGCTGCGGACGGACATTCAACGAATTAGAGAAAAAATATTAGGAGATAAAGTACCGGTGATTATGGCATTATTAATGGAGTACCCTTATCGATTGCGCATGGCTAAAAATCCAATCAAGCATTGTTTTTCACAAATTAACAACGCATTACCCTGCGAAGAGTGGTGTCGTCGGATTCAATCAAATCCTTGTGCAACTTACTGCCGAAAGTGTGACAAAAAGTCGTCTAACTTGTCCAGAAAACCAAAACGTTGATATTTTGTTCCTTTTCGCTATTGGATTTTTTATGGTGTGTAAATTTGTTTTGTATTCAGTAGAAATAAATTATTTTGGTATGGCTTGACGTTTGTTATTGGGAAAACGCAATTGTCGAGTGGCAACACCGCAGTGGCGCGCCTTCATGCGAGGTGACTTCGCTTCGCCGTGTGTCATTAGAAATCAAAGTTTTTGTGTTTTTTCTCGAATTATCGCATTTAAATCCATTTTTAATCTCTGAGTGATATTATTGTGATTATGTGCTGTTATCTTTTGAGTGGCGGAGGCGTACGATAAGGGTAAGATAATATTGTAAATGTTTGTTCATATCAGACGGTGCTTCGAAAAACTCAAATTCATTCATACCATGATAGCAATAATAGAATAATTATAAAATATTCATCTCTGTGTATTTTGGTCGTTTTGTGACCTTTCGGGGGCGACCGTGAATATAAAATGAAGTTATTTGTTACAATTGTCGATTATTTTGTCGACAAAATTTTCAATGTTTTTGCTTGTTTTTAATTGTAAGGGGGGTTATTTTGTGTTATTGGCTTGATAACGGTGTTACGTGGTAATATCAACTTAATGACCTTGCATACCATTACGAATCTTATTGGAACATCCAAACTTTGGTAGGTAGTTTCAAAAGAGCAAAACTTTTTATTTTAGCGGTATTCTCATAAGATTTCTTTCGTATGTTCTTGTTAGAGTCGATTTCTCCTAAAAAATATCCCAGCGATGTTTTTTAAGGTCAATTATTCCTTTCTAAACATTTGTTTAGCATAAAGGTGGTACTACCTTCAAAATAACTTATACTAAGTTGGAGGTTATGTACCTGAGTAACTTAATAAGTTTTTTAACCCAACATGTAACTTATAAAAGTTAAAAATTCATATCTAACACAATCCATAACTCTTAGACAAGGAATTTAAACTTTATCAAAGTACATATCTTCATTTGTGGGTATTCATAAAATAACAATTAACTATTGTAATTTATATTGTAGTATTTTTACTATTAAGTTTACTATAACTACTACTCAGTAGTAATAGTATTACTATATAAATATAGTATAGTAAAAAACCATTTTTTTGAATCACCCACTACAATGAACTGAATGATTTACCTACTTACCTTAAAAAATAATAAAAAATGTATAACCTTCTAATATTATATCACAAAAGAATATACTATTAAACTACATAAAGGTTATGCCTAGTTTTTTTATGAGCCAACCCCGCATCAACCTTCCAAGACAGCAGCAACTCCTGTCAGCCAGGATCTACAGTAGATACAACCATGAAAACACCGGTACACTGAACACTGAATATACCAGGGACCTAATGAACTGGATTGGTTCCCGCAATGAAATAAATCAAGATATTTAAGTTATGTCTAATTGCTGGATAAATAAATCCTATAAGAAATGTATTTATTCCAATTTTGTTAGTAAGTACATACATACATAGCCTCAAGTCTACTTTGCATGGCAGGCAGAGAGTATGGAATGCCAATTTCTACATGTGATTTGTTTTTTTTTTCTGATTAACTGCCTGACAGTAACATTCTTTTTAACTCGTCGAGTACCGGTTTTATAGACGCAATTAAAGAACAAAAGGTCGCGGTCACCGGTGACCGCTTGGTGTTTGACAGTTTAAGGAACTGTTTCAAAATATTTTCAAGACTGTTACATTTGTTATTGAAAATACTTATTACAAAATCAAAATTAAAAATACTAAATCCAGTCATTTAAAACAATGTCTTATGTTAAATTTTAAAAATGAAGATGCACACAATGTTTTCTATTGTCTTATATAAGTTTTATATAAACAATATTTTAGTAAGTTTACATCTAAATAACTTATAAAGACTATAACTTATTAATTTCTTATTACCATAAACAATTTCTAAATCAACTAAAAACTAATTTTAAGTTATAAAACACATTGTTTTAGTTCAAAAATGTATTATAACCACCAACGAAATCAGTACGGCTACAAATCAATCTCTCCCACACTCCAGCTAATTGGTTCTAATCAAACTAAATGCGGTACAATTTATACAGCGGAGGAAGTTAACAGATTTGTCTGGTCTTGTTACATACCACTAATAGATGAAAGCGACTATTGTTTATTTGTTTACTCAAGCAAATAGCCATTGCTAATTAGAATATGTTTTATTTATTTATTATTTATGTACATACACGTACAAAACAAAAGATAACATGTGTATAAAAACGAAGTCATTAGGTCCCGCATATTCTAACTGGAATTTCTTCGTGTGGACCTGTGGCAGGAAAATAAATAACGACACCGAGACAGTGTGTTACACAGATAAAAAAAAATAAAACAAATAACATTATTGTTACAATATTTGACTGCACGGTTGACGCGTTGGCTGGGCAGCTGGCTGCCGCGCAACGTGTCGCGGGTTCGATTCCCGCACGAAACAACTCTTTGTGTGATCCACAGGTTGTTGTTCCGGGTCTGAGTGTCACGTGTATGTGAACTTGTATGTTTGTAAACGCACCCACGACACAGGAGAAAAGCCTAATATGGTGCAATGTTTAAAAAAAATATCGATACCTCAGTGATTTGGTGTGAAATTATGTGCTATATAATTACACAAAACTTTTGTTACTACTGTCTACCTAAAAGTCCTTTATAAACTAAAAGTTTAAAAATAAAAAAAAGTATGTTGCGTTTTATATGTTCTTTTTGGCCTGGATTTATACTCAAATTTTACCGACGTCCTTTCATATTTTGATTTTATCATTTTAATTAATTATCTAAGATTCCATAATTGCTCCATATATCTGCTCGACATAGTTATATAGTTATATCCTTGGTTTAACATGAATATGTTTTTTCAACTTTATCCAGCGGCTTCACACTCGTTCCTGTACTGTGGTACAAATAGTAGCCGATGTGTTAATCTACACCGTAATCTATTCCAGGGTGCTTACTCTTGAAACCAATCTCAATGTCAATGTAATTTAAATCCAATAAAATCTCAATAATGATTAAATGTCAAAACTATACAACCCCTACCGTAGCTGTCAAAGTAGGATTCATAACACGGAATTTATACCCAAACTCAATACTATTTAGTTCATTAAAAATTCATGCAATATAGATGCAATAAGCGCTAGTGTTGCAACTCAAGAGTACGAAATTTCACAATGTCAATGTCGATCGATCCGAATTGGATTCAAGAGTAAGCCCCCTGTTCCAAATGTAATCTCGATCTCTTTAGCCATTTTGATGTGTAGAAGTAAAAAACAAACAAACAATCATGCAAAGTTTTGCATTTTTTATGCTAGTGGAATTTATTTATTTAAACTTATTCTGCAATATAGGTACATAGGTGGACATAATGCTACAGATATTCTTTCTTGTCGACCTTCAGGTGGTTTTAACCGGTCAAAAATTGTTGAAAATCATCCCCTAAACTTGTTCATACAAAAGTAGTCTCTAAACATTGGAAATAAGATCTATAATGTAATTAGTGGAGAGCAGTCACCAGTGACCGCTTGGGGATATATGGGTTAAGATATTTTCTATACATATAAAAGGTATAAGAAAATGTACTAAATGCTACTTTATTTAGTTTAGTTTATGTACAACAACAAGTCAATCTTGTGTAACCCTCTAATTGATCCAAATAGAACGGACTCCGCACACTAATTAATTAACTGGGAAGCGAGAACTACTATGATTCCAACTGTACAGATCTTCCTTGTTTTTATTTTCTTAAGTTAAATTGGATTTTTCTTTAGTTAAAAATTAATTATTTCAACTATGAATTGGTCAACCTTTTTTGGTTAATCACAGGATACAAATCCTCAAAATTTGTTCATACAAAAGTAATTTCTAATCATCGGAAATATGGTCTATATTGGAGTTAGTATATAATGGTCACTGGTGATCGCTTGGAGATTGATCAGTTAAGTACCATTATTATCATTCTTGTTAGGTTACAAACTACTTGCCATTTCCATGTAGTTCCACACAAACATTTTTAACCGATTTCAAAAAAGGAAATTCTTAGATTGACCTGTATGTATGTATGTTTGTGTGCGATTGGTTCAACCGATTTTAATGCGGTTTTCAGAATAGTGGTTACTCTTTGTAGAAGGCTTAAGTATATTTAGTTGACAGAGGTCAAAAATGGTTTTATGAAAAGTGGTTTATGAAAGAATTATTGTTATGGTTTATAAAAGTCATGGGGTTTGTTCTTATAAAAGTAGTGATTTTTGGATTTATTGGATACCTCATTTGACATAAGTTTAATTCAAGCTATATTCATGACTTTTTTATTTATTTTTCTCAGAAAAATCCCAGTAGTAGCACGGAGACTGGTAATATGCCCGGTATATGGCAATAGGCTAAGCCCCTATTACATGCGACTCGTATAATAAATAGTGAAAAGTGGGTGTTACAGTGTGCAGTTGCATTAAGTGCCGTAATGTACTTCTCTGCCCACCCTTTCGGGAATGTGATTTATGGAGCTATACAGAACCAGTATATCATGCTCTAGCTTTGTATGATCTTTCGGAACATTTGTAGGTCAATTTATACTGGTTTTATATAGTTTGATATGTAAGTAGAATGTTATGGTAAACGACCTTCAATATATCTGCGTAGGATTCGAACAGTGTGATAACAACGCGAATCTATTAATAAATTAGGTCTAAATTGTTTGTTTTGTAGGATTCTGTTAGGATGGGACAGGAAGCTTTTATTTATTGGTAATCTATGGTTTCTTATTTTAAACAATATACTCGACTTGGCGGACTCTACTCGATTAACTAAACATCTCGTAAACTCTTACTATCCAAGAATTTAAAGAAATCATTAGTGTATTTAGTAGTAGTAGCTAGATGTTGCCCGCGCCTTCGTCCGCGTAAATATGAATTTTAAGGCATTAGCTGCCAATAAAAAACTGTTGTAGGCAAATCCTCCGCTAATGTCGTTCACCGGTGACTGCCATGGCGTTTAACGTGACTGTCAAACACCGCGAGGACACCGGTGACCGCAACCTATTGTTCTTCAATTGTGTCTATAATGACGGTACTCAAAGTTTTAGGACAACTGTTTTATTTAAAATAAAAGTAGCCTATGTTATTCCTTAGTACATTACATTAGCTACTTGCCAATAAAAGTTCCGTCAAAATCGGTTCAGTCATTCCAGACAGTAGCCAGTACAAACAGACAGACAAAAATTCAAAACATGTTATTTTGGTATGTGCATCGTAGGTATATTTTTTGTATGGCATAAGTTGGTAAACGAGCAG